CCAGTCAGCGAAGCAGGCCACCTGAAGCTCCTGGGGGTCACCTTTGACTCCCAGCTGACATATGCGCAGCACATCCACACGATCCGCTCCAGAGCACAACAACGCCTAGGCTTCCTGCAGAAGGCCTCTGCTATCCTAGAGCCCCCTGGCCGACTCTGAGCCTACAATGGGTTGTCCGCCCTGTGTGTCCCCTGGTCTGGCTTGGTGCGCCACCCTCACACTTGGCCAAGCTAGACCAGATCCAGCAACGAGCCATCGGCATCCACATCATCGGATCGGGATCTTGGCTCCCTAGTCTATCTCTGCGGCTGACAGTGGCTTCACTTGCATACTTGTACAAGCTATTCTGCCTGGATGCGGACAGCCCGCTAAAGAAGATCCTCCCCCTGGTGCACAACGTCGACCTCAGGACATACAGCCCACCCGCGCGTCTGCTCAGCCTACGCACCCACACCAGCTATCAATTAACCTCCCAGCACGCACGCGAAACAGCTGTCCTCGCGCATTTCCTGCCAGCACTTTGCAGACATGGAATGCTCTGCCCCAAAGCATGCTGCTGAGACCCCCACACCTGGAGGGCGTGCAAGCCTTTAAGTGCCGTGTCCACCGTCTCTCTATGTTGCGGCACTGTAGCTCCCTTGTTCATGTAATAGCTGGCCTACTGTAACAATTATGACTTTGCTGGCCAAATAGCTGAGGCTGCAGTCAACTCACCAATCATCTCATGTTTTCAATGTTCCTTTTATTTTACTTTAACAATTTTGCAACCTCTCTCTCCCTCCCTCCCTCTCTCCCTCTCTCTCTCTCTCCTCTCTCTCTCTTTCTCTCTCTCTCTCTCTCTCTCTCTCTCTCTCTTTCTTTCTTTCTCTCTCTCTCTCTCTCTCTTTCACTCTCTCTCTCTCCCCTCTCTCTCTCTCTCTCTCTCTCTCTCTCTCTCTCTCTCTCTCTCTCTCTCTCTCTCTCTCTCTCTCTCTCTCTCTCTCTCTCTCTCTCTCTCTCTCTCTCTCTCTCTCTCGCTCTCTTTCACTCTCTCTCTCTCTCTCTCTCTCTCTCTCTCTCTCTCTCTCTCTCTCTCTCTCTCTCTCTCTCTCTCTCTCTCTCTCTCTCTCTCTCTCTCTCGCGCGCGCGCGCGCGCTCCCTCCCCCACCCACTCTTGGTGCGTTTAGGTGGCCATGCAGTCGAGACCCTAGGTCGGCGGAGCTCCCTAAACTTCACCACCACTGCCACGATTCAGGTTGTGCGTGCTTCCCCAAGCTGCATCTCATGTTTGGCATTTAAGTGGTCTTTGTAAAAAAAGAAAAAAGAAAAACAGAGGCGCACAAGCAGAGTGGGGGGGGGGGGGGGGGGGGCGCAGCCCCCCCCCCCCCTCCCCCTACCCCCTTTGGCTAGAACCCTGATACATGTATATAGAAAATATTAGAAATACTTGTCTTGCATAGAAACCGGTCTCATATAGGAGCCTGCAAAATTTCCCCAAGAAAGTCATATAAGCTGCGGCTTTTATACACGACTTTACGGGTACATGTACGGTATATGAAATTTTAAAAAAGTGCCGTCGAATCACACAAGTCACTTGAAGTACATCCAGTATACATGCATCTAAAGTGATGTCGATACCGTAAAAGCCCCTGTAAACGCCCACTTGAAATTACGCCCACCCTCCGTGTACACGCCCAGTCAGGGGAAGTCAACACTTTTGTTTCAAAATAGCGCCCGGGGTCTTGGCTTGTCAAAGCCTAAAATTAGGCTTGAGAGGGCCGCGAGTCAGAGCTAGGCCACTGGGTGCCGACGTTGCTCTGTTTCCATGCCAATACAAAATGGCAACCCCTGGCCATACCAGTTAGTGATCGTCCTGGAAAAATTCGAGGAAGAAGAATGAAGTTTGCTTGCGCTGCAAGCCATTTTCTGTGGCGCTGTCGTCCATTTTTGCCGAGCCTAATTTTAGGCTAGCTTTAAGAGCGATAGTGGGCGGAGCGGTTTCAACGGAATCGGAGCTGATATTGAAGCGTAAACGAAAGGAGAGAGGAGCGAGAGTGATTGGAAGACTACCAATGGCGATTCTAGCAGCATTGTCCTTTCACTACGCCAATAATCGCCTGCTCGAAGTGGAGGCATCATGGCCGCCATCATGGCTGCCATTGCATTATTACCCTAATTCAAAGGCGCTCCATGCGCCTCCTGAGTTCTGAAATGGTGACAACAGCTAGGAAATGTTCCTTGTGGGTCATGTCGGAGAGTTTGGAAGAGTTTCCTGTTCAATTTTCCCGCCTTTTATGTTCTTTTACACAACAGCCTAAAATTAGGCTTTCGCAAGACAAGCGAAGAGATACGCCCAGGCATGCCGGCAACACCAGTACATGTACAGGTACTGATGCCCAATACTTACTGCTATCCCTATTCCAAATACGCCCGGTTCCAAAATAACGCCCAGGAAATCGAGGCTGCTATTCTATACGCCCGGGGCCTATACACGGGCTTTTACGGTATCGCAGCACCCCCCCCCCTGTGAAAAAGTGCTGCCCCCCCCCCCCCCCACTAGGGTCCAGCGGATAATGGTCCGAAAATGTTTGTACAATGCTAACCACAATGCTCCAAAAACTACCTTATACTGCTGATTTAATGCTTTTGAAGGGGCTATAATGCTCTTGATTTGAGACAAAATGGGAGAATGGTTGCAAATTGTCACACTTCAAGGAATGCACATAGTCAATGTGCCTCTAAAGCTGCCGCAATATCTCTCACCAGCTCTACCGCCTGTTACTGCTATAAGACATGGTCGCATCTCCAGTGGCTGCTCTCCATTGCAACTTGATGCAGGGCTGTGGCAGAATAGTGGGTGTAACATATAGGCATATGCGGATAATGGCGGCAGAAAAATTTGCAGCATTCGGTACTTTTTCTGGTAAGTTTCATGCATGTTTGGTATGTGGATAAAGAAATGGAGCAGAATTCGAGGAATTGCCCGCCATAAGGTTCATATGGTTCTGCCAATTTCACTGCTTTTCGAGCAGAATCTGCCACCTTTTCGAGCATTATCCGCACACCCCTAGTAACATATCAAATCTTTCCCCCTGATTATCCAGGTAGTGAGAGGTGATAACCATTATTGCTGGTGATCATTGGGATGAACGTGGGTGAAAATCAGAATGGAGCGCATTGTGCAAGCTGTGAGGGTGCTCCGCTGAAGAAGTTTCCGAAGTACGAAATCAAACTATTCGATGAGCTTCTAAGCTTCGCCTTAGAGTCAGTTTGACCTAATTTGGGCCTTTCGCTTCATTCTTTTGTTTGTTCCGTGTGACTAAAAACAACATTGCGAACGTGGGTCCATTGCAGCAACCTTACGTGTATCACCCACGTTCCCGTATCCGTTACGTGGGACTAAACCTCCCTAATATTCACTATACAACTCGTAGTTCTACTCAAACTCACATAATGCTCATTTTGTTCCAATCTAATGCTCCTTAGTGCTCTGATGCTCAGATAGTCTCATAATGCCGAATATAAATGTCGGCATTATCCGCTGGACCCTGCCCCCCCCCCCCCCCCGACCCTGCCCCCCAGTAATTAGACTCAGGTGGAGGGCCAAGGATTAATTTATACTGCCGCGGAGAAGAAAAGAGGATCAAAGAGCGCATCCAAGACGTGCTAGAGCTGATTGCCAGCTAGGTGTAGAACATCAGTACCGTAGGTCAGTGCCGTGCAATGTTATCGCAGGAGCTGATTGTAAAGTAACTGGTCGTATTAGTGGGTATTATAGCGTAACTTGCAGCTCTTTGGTCCTCTTTTCCCCTACTCGTTTTCCGATTTTCGTGGGTTTTTTCATGCCATTCAACGAAAATGCAGTCAATAGTCAGTGCTAGAGGGTTCGTAAAGGCACATTTGTCTGGGGTGAAGGCAAGTGTTCGCCCCGTACGTTGCATTTCAGATCATTGCAAGACAGTTATTTTGAAAATGGAAAAGTGGGTTGCGGAATAACTGTTTTCCTTGCCCCCCCCCCTATTTTGACCTACATGTAGCTAGAACCCTGACATAATATTCAATTTTCTTACTGTATTTAAAAAGTGTAACCGAGAACTTGCGCTTGGCACAGACAAAAGCGGGTGAAGTACTGACCACTTTCATGGTGTCAGTTGGTGGGTTATTTTGTGCAGTTAATCAATAGATCATTACAAATTTTGTAATGATTTATTGATTTACTGGATATGTACATGACATTGTACATGTAACTAGTAACTAATTACTTATTGCTGCAGCCGGAGCCGCTAAAACCGCGTTACTTACCGGTTGGCTGTCACGAGGGACGAAGAAGAACTAGTACAGCTAGAAAACGTGGCGTCCTTGCTGCATTCCCATAATCCATATCCATCGCCGCGCGCCGCGGTCCGTGGATCTGCGGACGTATACATGTATCTACAAAGACTACAAGTACAAGATATCTAGCCTAGGACTATAGCCAATAGGAGCTGTCAGTGTCAGAACGCTTGTAGTAGCTGAAGCTCACACCGCCTGGGATACGGCTCTTGTAGCAATGGGCGAGGGCAGGTCAGCTACACCTACACTACAGGCTACAGTCTGTCCTTTTTCTGTTTTAGTTTTATTTCCAGGCGCCAGCTCGATCGGGTGAACACGCAAACTTCAAAGAGCACAAAAATATCGTAAGCTGCATTGCTTTTTCAAACGTCATGATCTCGAATCATGACAGTATTGTCGACTTCGTGTGCAGTCTGCACATGCACGACATTCAGTCAACACGCACGAAGACGTCAATGCCGCGCCGACACTTGTCAAACTGCGGAGACCTGGGTATGGGCACGGCCATGCAAGCATGCAACCAGTGCCTGCCAGTCGTGGCAGAGTGTATGACAGGTCAACACAAAAAATAGGATCGCAGTGGCAATCATGGTAGACAGGACAGGCGCAAGTGGAGTTGATCGTGAGACTCAACACAGTCATGACATGCCTACCTCACTGCTACCAAAGCCAGTGCCCAAATGCAAAACTAGCAACGACACGGCGTGCATTCTAATCATTGTCACGCAGTCACAGTCGCCGCATGCTCTGTTGCTCACACGCGCTGAAGACTGAAGTCGTCCCATGGTCTACGGCTCTAGCTCTGTGCATGCTAGTGACTGAGTCTTTAGGATAGTAATGATTTGGCTGTACAACATACAATAATACTACAGTTGCAGACCTTTCTCCTCTTTCCCTCCATTGGAATGATCACTTCCAGCAAAGCTTCCAGGGTGGGTTACATTTCTAAGGAGTAGAGTATTCTCCAGATTAGCTCCTCAAGTAAATTGTTCAAAGTGGATTGACACGGACTGGCAAGCAAGTAAAGGCTGAGCTAGCTGTGCACATGGTGCAGGCCCTGTGTGACTCGGTGACAGAGTGCTGGCCCAGTGCGCGTGGAGCAGCCACGTAGTTACAGTGTATTCATCTTTCACTGCTCTGGCAGTGATCAGGGTGATCGACGGCCAAGAAGCATAAAGGCTGCACGGCTCGATGGTAACTGGCTATGGCTCTGCAGCGCGACCTGATTTATAATCGCTAGGTCCTCAAGACTGGGGTAGGTCGCCTGCGCTCGATCTACCTCTATCGTGTACAACTACAAGTGTATCCAACCAATACGCTTGCTACTTGCAGAATTATTTTGCTGCACTTTTGCAGCAGCAGCATCTTCTGATCAGCAATGGCGGCAGTGCCTGACAGTTTACCAGTCGGCGACGATGCAGCAGCCAGTTCTAAAGGCGAGCCGATCACATTGGAAACGGTGCTGAGAAAGCACAGGTTGGACGGACTGGCTGAACGTTTCTCCTCCGGCGCAGCAAAGTGCACACTGGACGACTTTCTGCAGATGCAGCAGGCCGAGCTGCGCCAGTGGACGGAAGACCTAAATGAATTGGATGATTTGGTGCAAGCATGGCGGTATGCGTGCACGACGTGCTCCAAGCGCCTAGCACAACTTCAGCAGCAGCAGGTGAGAACTGATGGCCTTGATCTAGTGCTGCTACTGCTGCTGCTCACATAGGATTTCGTACCTACTAAGACATAGTCTTGTAGTCAGGGACCTACCACCCCAGTGGTTTCTAGCTGCGCTTTTTATCTGCTCGCTTGCCTGATCAGTCTTGGCTAGCTTGTGATAGTGCATTAGTGGTGCTTGCTCACTTGCCGTGCCGAGCTAGCTCAGGCCAGGGTACGGGTAGGGCGGTTTGGCTAGCTGCTTGCTTGCTGGTGAACGAGCACGCTGGCTTGATCGACACATGTGTGTCTGTACTGTGTGGGCGAGTGCTGCGCAGATTGTAAATTCATTATGTTTTTATGTAGCAAGTGTAAAGAGTTGTTGAGCTAGGGGAACTCGTGTCAGGATATCAGGAGGCACTTCTCTTGTTACGCGTGCGATTGTTTGTGGAATTCTTGTTCTGTGAACGTGGAGTTCTTCCTGTACAGCTGAACAACATCACTGCATAATCACAGTGTATTCGTGTTTCTGTTCCCGATCGCATGCGGCCTGCTGTAAATTTTTATATTCTGCCGCGTGTACATCATCTAAAGAGATTAGTGGTACTGCAGTACTGACTACTGGTACAGTGCCAGTGGTAGTCGTGCGGACGACAACGAAAGCGTGGTGTTGTTGCTGCCGTTTCTCTGCATTATTGTTAGACATCTCCGGGCGACAGCGATGGTCGCATTCTCACGGGTCGTGACCAGTGTGCCACTCCGCCGTCAGGTTCAGGAGACTTCAACTTCCAACGCAAGAGCTCGCTGAGCTTTCCGCGCTCCATGAAGACTAGCGGTCGACGGGCGTTACGTGAGTTGGAACAGTCTGAACAACACGATAGTGGCTGTGTAGCGGACACCGGTGATGGAGGTCATGACGAGCCGCCATCCAACTTGCTCGCCACGCAGAAGCTGGGTAATTCAGAGCCCAATATCCACTCGCCTGCTGATACGTTATCGCCACGGGTAAGAGGTCTTATAGTATGCACTTGCCGTATTGTGTGTGTGCGTGCGCTGCTGTTTGCATGGGGCTATCTAAAAACTTACTTTCTCAAGAGAGAACTGTGGGTGATCAGCTTTACTTTAGAATGAAGGCAGCGTTCAGCAGTGTCAAACTCACCAGCTAGTGACTGGCTGTGACTGATCGGTCCAGAAGCGACTATTTGACATTTTATCATCATGTCTCAATGGACACCATACAGAATACAATGTACTGGGTATTTTGCCAAGGAGTTGACACCTCATTATTATCTGTGCCTTGTCTTGATGTCTATAAGCGTTGGGGTATGGCTGCGTTTCATTTGAGTGCGAATTATATAACACCCTTTGTCAAACCTAAAACAATGGAAATATACAAACAGTATTCATTGCCCAGCCATTGCAATCCACATGATCTTAACTACTACTAGTAAAGGGCTGTCAATTATTATTTCTTATCTCCAGATTCCCCCATACAGGTTGCTGTTTCACTCAGCACAGCTGTTGGAAGGATCTAGGAGTTTACAACAAACTTGTAAAGATGCGTTTTTTTGCAAAATCTTCAGAACAGGATTGCACCGCTCCAGACACTCAGACGATAGCCTACACAGAGTATTTGGCTGTGTAGCTTTCTCACGTACCATTAGTATTACATGTACAGTCGTATACTGGTGTTACATTTTAATTTTCCGCTCTGGCAAAACATTGACAGTTAGTGTCATATAGGGTACACTTGTAACACCTGTGACGGGGTTGGGCATAGGCCTCACTGTGGACATAGAGCAGCAAGTAACTTATCTCTTACGCAGAACGCTAACACGAGGACAAGTTCCTTACTTCTTGCATCAAACTCGACAGTTAACGTTTTCTGAGGAAGAAGGGAGAAAGCAGCAGGTGGTATAGGCAGTGAAGGGAAACGTAGCATGATTCGGAGAAGTCATGAGCACTGCAATGGAAAATGTGGGAAGAACAATGATGCTTGCATATTGGGGTACTACACATTGTCTCAGGACCGGCGGAAGCAGTTTTTGATTAGTCCGGCCGTACCATGCCGTTCGTACTTTCTATTATGACATGGCGGGCACACACAACCTCCCCGGCAGTAAACACGTGTTCGTGGCCAGAGCGTTTGTCTGGCCATGGCCGGACCACCAGACCAGTTCCGCCGGGCCTGCTGTCTATGGCATGAGAACGATTGTAAGCATGTTACCGTAGTTCACAATGTTCACTTCCACATGGCTATTCCCATCATTGAGGCTATACGCTTGTCTCAGGGTATAATGCTGAATGTACGTATGGGAGCAGTGGACGTGGACATGAACAACGTACCAAATCGCAAAACCCCTCTCACGGTGTTAACTGCAGGGGTGATAGCCACTTCCAATAGCAGACACAGCACACCAAACTGTACGTGATTGTGGTGCTAATTCTACCTGTGCTGAAGGTAACAGCTCACCGCTCGCAACAGATGTATCCTTTGATCCAGCTATCAAAATTTTGTTGCAGTGTTTCAACCCGTAAAGAGGACGGGGAAAGGGTTAACGCCTTGAGTCGGGAAGTTCCAAGCCGATGTTCGACAACATCTTGAACTATGATAAGTACTGTGACCTTTTTTCTGAGGTGGATTGATACTCTTATCCAGCACCCCTGACATGATCACCGATCAGTACATCAGGCTAGCAAGAACACAACCGTCATAATGCTGTGTGTCGGATGCCTGTGCATTTTCTGTTTCTGTGCAGTTGGATGGCTTGAGGGTACGACGGAAGCACAGTTTAAAACGGTAGGATCAGAGTGTGGATTGTTGCTACTCAACGGAGTAGAGAATAGTTCCCTTGTCGTTTTTGGATCCGGTAGCACATTGCACGATTCTTGTGCATTGCTGTCTGCTGTAAGAACGCCGGGGGTCTGTGTGGCATATCATAGTCATGGACACTGTCAATCTATAAAAATAATACCAAGCACTGGCTAAAAGGATTTCAGTTGCATTTATAAATAAACAAGTGAAGCCCTTAATAAGGGGAAGTTGTCTGTTGAGGTCACGAACCTGCTCTAACATATACGCTTTCAGCTAATTTTTCAGCTACGTAATGATAGCAATGGACTTGGTAGCGTAAAGCAGTGATCCCAAATGGCCCATTGACTCGGAAGCACACCGTTAAAAAACCAATACCACCTGTGATGCACGAAGTACACGTCGGCGGCTGATGAGACCTTACCACCATCACGCACACACCTGTCCTGGCCTGTCCTGATCATTACCGTAAAACGTTGACATGTCCCCTCGTACCCGACAGACACAGGGTTGGTTGGTTGAGTACTGTACGCAGCACACACCGTAGGTTAACACACACATACACACATACACACACACACACACACACCGATGGATATCAGATTGAAGAGCAGAACTGCAATGTATCTTCAGTAAAAAGTGCCCTGACAATAACATACCTTTCACTTTGCATCGGATACGAGGACCTGAAGTCCATTTTACTTCGGTTATCACCTGGGCTATAAAGTCCTGATTTGTACGTCCCTTTTTGTGCACCCGCACGTGTTGTCCAGGCGTCAGGGGTCCAGCCTCCCTGCCCAACCGACCCACCACACACAACAACGAAACTGAACGAAAGTTTTACATAATTATTCGACAAGACGGAGACGGACAAACAAGAAGACCGGGCACGACGAGGTAAACTGGAAAACTGAAGAAAAAGACAAACATCATGGCAGCATATGAGCATGCGCGCAAACAAAACATAACGCATGACAATGACGTAACCGTTCCTTGGTTCATGTACAAACTACACATGCAACCAAAACAGTCCAACAGAGTCAAAAGGAGAACGCAAAACAAACCAAAATACACGAAAGGACCACAACAAAAATGAGCCATGAAAAGTCTTTCTTTCCAATAAAACCCGGGATACGCAACATCCCTTGCAGCAGGTACCTTATCCTGAAGTTTCACTGTAGCTTCAGGCTTCTCACAAGTAAGGAATTCCCAAATTATTTCCACAGGTACTTCTATTTTTCTTCTTTTCATGTAGACATAGCCAGTAGGAAAATCGCTTCAGTAGGATAACTGATATCATACAATGAAATAATGTAATGGTTGAAATTCTTAGAAATGTTGCTTATGATACGCCTGAAGCAAGTTCTGTTCTTCAGGCGGATTGCAGTGTTGTCTCCTGGAAAGCTATTAGCTATTAGCTGATGAATATTTGCCTTTTGCTGTGCTCCTTGATACAGACCGAAAAGTATGTATGTGTCGAGTGAAAGTGTTGAAAGAGGTAAGAAACGCTACTCTAACTAACCTGTTGTACAGTCCAGCTGTGTTGTTATGGATTGAAAATACCTTGCTAAGCCAAGTGCTTACAAATTATTGTATGTACCTCAAGCGTCCGTGAATTTGTAGCAGAATTTGTGGGCATAAGGTAGCGGAGATGTTATGATGGGCATGTGTTTTCGTATGCTGCTGCTGTTTTTCTCCAGGTCTCGCGAGTCCCGATGGCCTATCAGCGCCTCAGCTATATGCAGTGCCGCAGGCTGGTCGCTCAACGTGAGTACCCTTTACACTGTTGTAAAATGATGTGTTGTTTTCCTGTGTGATGACATTCCCCAAGCTGTCTTCGTCTAGTCGCGTGCATGTGTGTTATGAGCATATGCGATGTTGTACTCGAGAGTCCTTTTGTCAGTCTTCGTGTTCTTCCCATGGCCTTTATGTTCACATGAAGCTCCCTGGCGGTGTCTTAGTGCGAGTGTTGCTTGGTGCGGAAGCCTCTGTTTCTATCTTACAGTATATCAGCGCCTTTAAAGCCATGGCCTGATATTCGAAACACCTCTGCTTTCGTAGCAATTTTAGATGCAAAATGACCCACCCACTACGCCATGCCATGAAAGTCAAAGTCCACACAGAAATTTCAATCTAAATCCACTTGTTCACCCTTCCTGCTGGGCTTTAAGGTTGTTAGTATAATCCTTCATTTTTACAAAACATACTTCGAAAGTCATTTCATTTATGAAGCCTATGGCTTTATAACTGAGACTGGCTTTATAATCGAATATACCTCCGTGGGGTTTTAAGTTAAAACATTCCTGTACTGTAGCCCAGGCATATACAATCTGCTATAGGTGTCTCAGTCCTCATTTATTACTTCAAAAGTAAACTTACTTTATGGATGTAAAATACTCTCTCTCTTCCTCCTCCTCCTCCTCCCTCTCTCTCTCTCCTCTTCCCTCTCTCTCTCTCTCTCTCTCTCTCTCTCTCTCTCTCTCTCTCTCTCTCTCTCTCTCTCTCTCTCTCTCTCTCTCTCTCTCTATCTCTCTCTCTCTCTCTCCTCTACATTCATTACTGCAGGGCAAAGCGAGATCGCCGTTGGTCAATCACATCCTCCATGGCATCAGGTTCATCTGGGTATAACACAAGTTCTTCGCCAGCATGGGTACGTGGATGTTGGTACTTAACGGTTCATGCAATGATCTTCTCCTGCTTGTGAGCATGGCACTGGTTTGCTAGCAGTCTGTAATGTTCCATTTCCTTCAAGGTACTGTCTCGCAGAAGTCCTGGAATTATGTAGTACATACTGTGCATACCTGAGAGCAGCATCAGGGTTGCCACTTGACGTTATGAGGCGTATGGCGTTGATGACACTGACGAACTCATCAGTCGTCAACCTCTGCTAGTAAGGGTGCGTGCCTGTTACCATTATCGACAGAATCACCCTCTCCTGGTCAGAGACAGAGTGTTCAAAGTGAGGTTGTTCCTGTTCTGGTCGGGATGGTATTTCCTACGTCTACCAACCATACTGACTGAAATCCGTGATCGATACAACTTTTCTCGGTTTTCCAAAGCAAACAATTATTGTAAATGTAAGGCATGTAGTCGTGAATGCCAGAAAGCAAAACCTAGCAAACAAAAAGAAGCTTTCCACCCAGCAGATTTGATTTTCCTGTTGGGGCTTGATCCACATGGCTCACGTGCAACCGTGGAGATGGGGACCTCGGTCTTTTACTCAGTCTATATAGCATGTATAGACCTAATCGGTCGATATCCTATACATAAAACATCATTGTAGGCACTTTGCACAACAATGTGCGGATACGGTTCAGTGAGGTTGTTTCTATGGTGATTGTGTCCGGCATGTAAGGAATGTTTGACAGTGTGTATGCTTCAGATTTTTGCTGTGTAAACAGTGGCTCTACTGTGCTGATAAGCTGCACGTATGTGCTCTGTGTATTCCTTCTATACAGTCAATGTCATCATCTCATGAAAAACTTCATCATGTGAGTGTTGGCATGATTTGTCAATGCATCATAATAATTATAATCACCATCAATCCTGTAGCACGTGCATGATGCCACACATCTGTCCTGATCAATGAGTATGTGTTTGACTGTGAGTTCTGGGCAGAACTAACTAAATTTACTTGATATGGCAGACCAATGTCCTACAGACTACTGAGTAATGCGCAGCATATTGATATTGTGCTTACACATAGCTGGAATACAGCAACTGCTAGAATGCAGTCCCAGGTTCATACTCCGAGTCCAGCACCCATTCATTGTCTACTTGTACTGTTGTTGGTGTTGTGTGTGTGTTGAGCAGCTACCCAGCCAGCCCACTCACGATGACTTTCAAGGATTTGCTGCAAAGCTCACGATGAGGTATGTTTCAGCTGTGTGTGTGCTGGACCTGGGCTAGTAGTAGTGCAGGAGGCTATCCGGTAACTGTTACTGTGTTAGGAGCAGTAGTATAGTGAACAGGTAGAGTCATGATCCTTTAGCCTACTGAGTACTGTCAGGACTTCTGTAGCTTAGCCTGGTGTGAGATAGGGCTTTTGCCTGTTCGTATTGCCATGTGCCTCTGGGGTGTGGTGCTCATGGAGTCCAGTAGTACTGATAGAGTCTGTAGCATTGATGGAGTCCGATAATGGAGTCTGTTGTGCCTGCTCGGTGCCTTATCCTCATATTCTAAGCCTACCGCCTGCGGTTACTCGAGGCAGAAATCACTTGGCTCGCAGTGGGTGGAAGATACTGTCTTAGTCACAGTTAGTTTGACAAGCCAATGGAAGTGTGCCTGGTATACCTGGGTCGGTGTGGCTACTTGTAAGACTTGCCCCTGGAAGAGGAATCACCAGGCTGTTCGGACATGGTCTGGTTCTGCACAGGCATGAGGTAGGCTTGGGTGTACAAGGCCGTACATGTTTGCTTCAGCTATTCAGGTCACGGAAGAAAACTAGTGTTGAATGTTAGCCTGGAGCAAACTGAACAGCCTTTCTTAGAACTGGGGGCACTGAAATAAGCACCACAGTTTTGTACAGAGCAGGGATGTAACTCGAATTTAGCTGTATAGCAATTTATGTACATGTATTTCTTACCTTGCGTGTCATTCCCTACACTACCCATGTACCAGTATGTGTTGTGATGAACAAAAATGGATGGGTGCATGTTCATTGAGATTTTCCTCATACATTTACTGCTCTGTGCTAGTAGTAGCTGTACTAGCCTCAGTGCCCTGCTTGAACTAACTTACTTGCATACTGAACTGTGCATGGACAAAACTTGCTGGGTTCTTGTTATGCACTTGAGCTGCCCTGTGCCCGAGGGTGCAGTTCTGAGGGGCAGGCAATATGCTTCTCAAGTGATGTGTTAATCTGCAATCCGCAAAACTACCTGCTTGGGGGAGTCTTCATCCGCTGTAGTATATTGGGTAGACAGCCTGTAACTTTTCAGTCTCTAAAGTGGGAGACAGTCGGCTCTTGGGCAGCCTCTTGGGTGTCAGCCCCCTGATTTGTCAGTCCAATGGTCTTGTGCCATTTTAAACATGTCATGTTGTGACTGGTTGCTTGTGCGTGTTAGTTATTGTTGCTTCCTAGATCCTGGATAGTTTGAGTTTGAGTCAGAGTTGTGGAAAGATATCCCTGTTTGGAGGTGTGTGGGAGTAGTGACTGTCACTGACTGGCCTAGGGAGACATGCCTACACATCTAGTGTCCTTGCATCTATGCTACATTTTCAGATTAACCTACATGAAGTTCAAGGTCCTGTTATCTGGGTAGCAACTTACTAGCAAGTCTTTTTTTAACTACTCTTCCCCAGCAAAAACGGAACAGCAAGGACTCAGGTGACACTGGATTTGCAAAGCTGCCGGTTTATGCCCAGTCAGTCCTTGAGTCACTCACTGGCCCATATTCAGTTTGTACTTGAATGTCCTCATTATAGATAAGTAATACTGATTGAGGTGGATTCACCTGAAGTGCATGTACATGCTATCACAGTTTTGCTGGCTACTGCCTTTGGCATTAACCAGTAGAAACACAGAGGACTGCCGGAAATGGACTGTGAAGATGTAGTGGTCAGTGTGTGGCTGAAGTACTTACGAGATAAATTATAATCATTCTAAAAGCGTACAGGTACACAAAGTCACCAATTTCAGTCTAACTACAATTATAGTCGGGCTGGCATTGAGTTGCCCGTTGCTGGCGACTGGTGAGACTTGACACCTTACTTGGAAGTGTGAAGGGAGAGAGTTTATGGGTAATTTTGTAGCCTCACACTTTTAACTACTTCTGAAGTACAATCAATGCATGGTCCATGGAGTGAGAGCTCTTCCACCAGTGTCTGGGTGACTAGGTGTTTAGGCCAGATCACTCCACCTTCTACATGGGGGTTGATCAGTTGTTTTGATTGAGTTTTCAACCAAACAACTATAATATCCAATGACAAGAAGGCGAATGAGGTCAGAGCTATGGCGAAATGGGGAGACTCTGAAGAATAGAGACAGCAGAACATTGAACATAATTATGCTGTACCACTTGTAATATAACCGAGCCATGGGGGTTTGGCCTGCTTGGAAGGGGGGGGGGGGGGGTGCTGTGTGGTCTGAATGATTATGTGTCAGGGCACTGGTAGTGGTAGTTGATACGAAGTGATCATTTTACTATGTGACGTTCATGTGAATTCCGAGCAGTTGATCATGACCCATCATGCAATATCACAATATCCTCCCGGAGTCTAGCCCCACTGCTGTGTGCATGCATTCAGGAAGGATAGATTTTCTTGCACTGGTACTTTCCAGATTATTGCAAAGTCTGCAACATCCTTATCACCTTCCTAGCAAATTTGGATTCTGACTGTCATGCTTTGCATGTACCCTAAGACTAGCAGGAGCCTCTGGAGTAGAAAGTCTGGTCAAATTGTCCTCCGCTGCCCCCAGGAAAATGGATAAATCCCCTGCCAAGGGAAAGTGGATAAATTGCAAAGGCTGCCATTGCGTACTACCCTCTAGGACTCTGGATTATGGAACGGTGTGAATGACCCACATGCTGGCCTGAGTAATAGATTCTGCAGGGATGGTGCTCTGCCAGGGTGTTTGCTTTGGGGAGCTGGAGGTGAGGCGAGTATGTGCAAAGGCATAGGACAGTTTTAGTTTAGTAACTTATGCCGAGTCTTGTGACGCATGCACGGCTCCCTGGGGTTCCTCTTTTGTTTATGGTGTGACTGTGCTCATCGGTTCACTGGTGATATGTGGTGGCTGGCCGGTAGCTTCAAAGGACTTCTATCACTGCCCTATCACCGCCCTATCACCGCCAGGTCACCACACACTAGGTCTACTGGTTGTAATGTGAATACTGGTTATGTATTCTGTGCTTACGTCCAAGGGACAATGTCAATTACTTTGCATCATGAAAATTCACAGTGTGACTCCGTAGCAGCCTATGACACAGCTAGCTCTACTTGTACTACTTGTCAATCAAGGAGTACAATAGCTTTTACCACAAAGACCAGTTGCCTCCTTTTATGTTGTGTGTGTGTGTCGATGGACCAAAGTCATAGTGCCGGTCATTTATCCATTACCTTTACGGAGTTGTCTGCATTGAATGCTGCAACCTGTGCAGGGACTACTAGTGATTTGCAGTGGTTCAAGTGCTGGCTGCTAGGATTAATTGAAAGCCTACATCAGAGCAGTAGTAACCGCGACCATGGGTGGCCTGACGTCATGACCGTACATGTTGCTTGCATTTGAGCCCAGCCTGGCCTGACTCTCTGGGCATTTGATTGATTACTTCAGACCCCTACACTACAGACTGAAGAGATTAACTTGGTCCGTGCCTGTGTAGCCATAAGGGGATGTTTGAATCTCCCTTGCTGAGCCAGTGCACGCAGTAACCCATCCATGCATGGTGAATGTGTCACATGCATGGTGAATGTGTCAATGGGTGCATTGTGTGCTGATGGCTGTGATGCATTCTTTATGCTGTGCTTGTCTTCGTTCCAGTTCCGATGACAGTCCCGATGAGTTCAGGTTCCGCTCCAGGTCTCGCAGCCTCAGGTAACTACTTCATTGTGTAGTTCTGAACTTCACCAGACACAGTCTGCTTTATTTTTCTTACTGCTAGCCCAGTGTGTGGGTAGTTCCATTGGAATAGCCATGAAAGATGATGAGAAAACTACATTTAGGTGAGTAGGACTTTCTGTATGACACCATACTGCTCTACTCCCTCAGTGTAGAGAAGGAAATACATCTGATTTGGGCAATCTGGAATGCTACATGCAGTTTTTGCTTTTATTTTATTATTTTTGTTCGCTTGCGTTGTTCCTTTCTGACTTTAGTCCATCCAGATACCCACAGCCATGGCTGGACATGCCCACTCTCAATCGATTCTTCCGAGAGAACTTCCCGAAGGCAAAGCTTCAGATGGAGGAGAACCTGAAGGTATGGTTTACTGATAGCGTAGCAGGGATATGGAATACCAGTGGTGTATGAATTAAAACCTCAAACACTATCTTATCTTTGTGGCTGCATTGCACTTGAGCCTTTAGAAATTGTGTTTTGTGAAAGGTATGGCGGACTCCGCACAGTTTCTTGTCCCAAGAGACAAAAAGAGCACCAAGTCAATTGGTTCATTATGTTTCAGCGAGCCTTAGCCGTCATCGGTAGGAGCAATTCCCAGAATTATACGCAGGAAAAGCTCAGATGGGAAACAAGTTTTTTGTGTTTTCTTTCAATTGTTTTCTCTATCTAGGAGTACCTGGATGGAGCAAACGAGGAAATTCTTACCCATCAACATGCAGATGCAACTATTAGCTTTGTCACAAAACAGGTAAGTGGAATGACAGAGACTAAAGTACTACAGTATTGCATTTTCTACTAGGACTACCTGCATATAAGCAGGCATGGTGGTGGTGGGGCATAAGCAAAACTTCCCTAGTAGCTGCTTGTGTTTCTGAACACATCTGTATAGGTGGTGGTAATGCGGATGCGCGAACTTAACATCTTCTTTCATTGTGTTGCGCTGCTGAGCTCTCAGCATTTGGTAGTCCGACTGGCAGTAGATTTATGCAGCAATTCCATACCATTCAAAGTACCTGTAGATTAGCCAAGTAGTCTCTGCTGCAGATGATGGTTAGGACAGAAAGCTACTGGCCTCAGGTAGAAGTGTGATGAATTTATCCTTCAGTCTTTGCACATGAACTTCATCTGGATGCTACTTGCTAACATGTGCTTAGAAACATTCCCACATTGACGGAGGTTGGAAAATCTCCACTGACTAACGGGTTGACACACTTCGAATGCTAGGAAGTATGCCTGTTAGTTGTGAGCTTGCTGTGCAGTGATGCGTCGTATTCTGTCCTGGGTTTTTTTGTGTTTCTTGCCAATTCAGCTTCATGAACTTGCTCAGCAGCTGCTCACTAACTCACAGGATGGGACACTATCGAACGACTGTTTCAAGGAGAGTACAGACAACCTTCTGCGTCTGTTTGAGGAGGTCAGTCTTTGCTAGGATCAGCTATGTGCAAATGTGCACTTGTCACCTGTGCTGTTATTGTGTGGTGCAGGGGATTATTTGAACATGGATGGCTTGGCCAACTATGCGTTTTGCAGCCCATGTGAATGTCACCGTGCTGACATCAACGCTAAGTTTGTTCGTGTGTGACATTATTCCCTGTAACGTATTGGCAGATTTCGAATCGGCGGAGTTCCACCGACACAACGGTTATTGTTGTACAGCAGCTTGTCCAGAGGCTTCTCTCCATCATGTCCCGACCTGCAAGATTACTGGAGTGCTTGGTAAGTTTCACGGCGGAGCAATGGTTGTGCCGGCAGCGGCAGGCGTTTGACGTGAAAGCCGTGCAGTCTGTTCCCATTGGATAACTTTGCTGGGTAATCGGAGGTATCAAGAGTAGATGAACAAGAGTGTGAAACTCGCATCTCTTCTGCACAATCTGCTGATACCCCGGCCCACGGCGGAAATTTTTGTTGACGTCACCTTTTCAGAAAAAAACGCGCATTTTTGCCGCAGAGCAGCGTGAGAGCACATGCTGGGCACCGACCTTGTAATGTAAAGCCCAGCCAAGTGCACGAGGCAAAACTTCCCAAAAGACTCGCAGCGCGTGTGTCGTAGAAAAGATAAGGCCATCATTTTTTATAGCTATGTTTCGCGTCGTCCGCACGCATACGTTTTGAAGTTTTTCGGAAAAAAATAAAAAAATCTTACATGCACGGTGATTGTACGATCGTGCGAGTCATCAGTGGGTAAAATACAATACAAAAGTGTGGACTGGTTGCATACGGCGAAGCTGAGATTCAGAAATGGCCTCTAGGCCACCGTTGGTAAATCGTTTGTTCGGCATCTGGGAGCAATATTCTATGAGCTAACACCAGACAGCATTGATCGCCTCAAGCTGAGAGGATGCGTCGTTCCGGAGGTCTTTGCACCGCTGCTGAAGTCTGGGTACAATAATCCAGCGAAGCATAGGCACCAACGGTTGCCTCCTCTGTCCAAAGTGAATATTTACTCATGCTGATAACCCAGATGTTGTCCTTCGATGTACGATTTTTCTTTCGAATGTACACCATGCACGAGCTATTGTGCTATGTACCGTGCATACACCTCTGATGAGCCTTTTTATTATTTGGCAGCTTTTTTATTTTTTTCCACCTCTCGCATATTTTTCTGGAAGTTGAACTGACGCGAAACATAGATAAAAAAATGATGGCCTAACGTCAACAAAAATTCCGCCGTGGGCCAACCAATCCGCGAGTTGCACACTCTTGTTTATCTACTCTTGGAGGTACTCATCGAAGATGGCCGTCACCTTTTTGCAGGGCAAGTTACCCCATACTTGGCAGGTACAACCCATTCTAGTACATTAATGAGTACGACCCTACAAGGTTCCCGGCCTTTCCTGCACAGCTGGTACCAAGATTTGTACAGTTGTAATAGAATTGCCCCGCAAAACCTTACGGTACTGTCGGTCGCCGAAGAACTGGGGGGGGGGGGGGGGGGATCAGCCTCCTAGCCTAGACCGTTCTTATTTTCATGCATTACAGTCTATGCACAGTTCAGTCACCGTGTATACATTGGTACGCTGTGCTTGGTGAAATTCTAGTCTGGCTGTGTAGTGTCTGCCAGCCTGCTCGTGTCTGAGGCACTTTGGACTTACATCAGAAAGTGATACAGGCTGACAGCACTAGCGGGAGGAAAACAAGCTCTTGGGCTTACAACTCTTTACTTCACAATTCCACACAGAAATGAGAGAGAATGATGAGTTTAGGCCACACGTTTTTATATCTATGTTTCTCGTCACCCGCGCGCATACGATTCAGGAGTCTGGAGGAAAAAAAGAAAAAAATTTGCTGCACTGACTGTGCATATGCGGGACCAGCACACTCATGCACATGTACCTGATTGTACATGATGTGGCCTGGCCTGCGCGACACATGATGCGAGGTCGCCATGCAATTATTGTGCGCAATCTAGCTGCACATGCACAGATTGTACATGTGACAGAAGCTCCTGCCACAAACTACAAAAAAGCAAGAGTCCAAAAACTGTTTATGGACTCTTGATACTAGTTGCTAACTATGGATGCTATTTTGCGTGGTGTATTGGTGGATTTTAGTGTGAACAAAGGTCTATTATAATAAACTTTTTTTTATTTTTCGGTCATTTTTTATTTTTTTCCACCTCTCGCATACGTTTTTAGATTTTCAGGTGACGAGAAACGTAGAAATAAAAACGTGTGGCCTTATATAGGCCAGGGGGAGAGAGCAGCTGGGAGTGAGGGCAAAAGAAAGCAGGAGGAAGAATGGACCTAAGGAGCGAGCAACACTTATGCAACAGGAATTACATCTAAAAGTAAGGAGGAAACGAATGTGAATGGCAGGCAGGGTAATAGGGCATAAAGATTACTAGGAAGACAACTGTTGGAAGATCTGAGGAAAAGACATTTGAATGTGTGTGAGCTAGGGCTGATCAGTAACATGGATTCGGGGAAGAAAGCTGTTGGATGCATAGAACCGGGAGGGCATCTGGCACGGGATCAAAAGGGTCAGTGATGGGGAAGGGACTATACAGGAATCAATGTAATGTATTAGTACAGCACGAATGGGTGCTATAGGTTTAGCGAATTCAAATATAGAAAACAACAACAGGTCATGCCGTACCGGTCTTGCAAGCAGGGCTATCCAGTCCTAAGTGGTTGCGCGTAAGTGAGAAGCACTTAGATAGAATGTACCTGTGAAGGCTACAATAATAACTACTGGTAGAGATGTGGCTGTGTGATTACTGTTCAGTGACAGAGCTAGGGATACTACATTCGCCCCTCCTCCGTTGAGACACGTCCTCGTGTCTACGGGACGGATGGTTGTGAAGACAGACAGACACATGTATCTAGAAGTAGTTCGGTGGATGGATACCGGACCAACCTAGATTCTAGCGAAATGAACGGACCGGATCAGCTTACTTGGCCGGACTTGACAACATCATATTGATTTGACATTAGCGGCGGAGGTTGCAGCAACTGCATCGACGGGAACGTGATTACGTTTGGAATGGACGACGGACAGGATACACGAGAGCAGCAAGGCAAATGGCGAACTACGACATCTTGCAGACATCTAGTTTTCTCATCACCACCACCTCCTCATAGACTTGCAGATGGTGTTGCTGCTGTAGTGGTGGTGGTGGTGGTGGTGGTGGTGCTTGTTGGTCATCATCAACGTCATCATCGCTGTCGCTTATGATGATGACTTCTGGCCAATCGTTCTCGTAATCGCTTTCGATGGCACTGTCATCGGCCATCTTCTTCCGCCATATATATTACATCACAGTCCAACAGATACACACACACACGGAGCGCTGAAATTGGAGCCACTAAGATTCCACCGATCTTGGTGTCCGCCACCAATCTTGTCTGGGGTGGTCCACTGCCGCGGTAGAGGGGCACGCGGAGCCTGGGCGGGTTGCTGTTGTTGTCAGGCCATTTCTACATGTATGAATAACTACGTTAGGTAAGATTGGAAGGAAAACAGAAAGGACGACGATTGCGACATACTGGAAATAAAACAAGGCAACGCAAGGTAAGACCACTTCTGACGCCAGTGTAGTGTCTGCCAGCCTGCTCGTGTCTGAGGCACTTTGGACTTACACCAGAAAGTGATACAGGCTGACAGCACTAACGCTGAAATACTGGTAGAAATGTGGCTGTGTGATTACTGTTCAGTGACAGAGCTAGGGATACTACAGCTGTTCTTTGGCGCTCCGTTCTTTGGCGCCAGACAGTACTGCATGGTGGAAACTGACGCATACATCTCATTGCGCTAGACAGAGACCTGCTGCTGGAGCTGGAGCGACTGCGTATTGTTGAACCTTTAACGGCGGATTAGTTTCTTTGTGTGAACAAAACCCACACGAAGTGGATAATATTTTCCCGGAATTCGTATTGGCTATATCCCTTGATGCGTGGCAAGTCGCCAGGGAGTGCACTGGTGTACGCTTCGAACAGCTTGCACGCGTTTATCACAGAACTCCACACCCATGCTTGGTTGATCTTCATTATTGAAGCTAGCCCTTTTTCTGCTGAAGACTCAAAGGGCTCAGAAACATTGCCTTCAGGCAAAAGTATGGTTAAGCTCTAGTGCTTTTTGTGGTAAGCGCGTTCTGAAGGCAAGGCAGGCCACTACCCACACTCAGTCAGTCTCAGCACTGAACGTAATGGAACTTACTCCGGCATGGCCTGGGTGTTGGCTCGTTCTGAAAACTGAACTCTCACTCCCTCCCTCCCTCTCTCTCTCTCTCTCTCTCTCTCTCTCTCTCTCTCTCTCTCTCTCTCTCTCTCTCTCTCTCTCTCTCTCTCTCTCTCTCTCGTTCTCTCTCTCGCTCTCCTTGTGGCAGAGAAACACAGCAGCTTTTATAGCCAGAAAGCGTAATTGCAGCAACAGTAATGGTCAGGGCAGCGTGGAGCAAAGAGAAGAAAAAAGGTCAAAGTAGACATGTGGGCAGCAGAATGGGAAAGGAATAGAGATCGAACAGCTGTACATACAGACAAAAGGAATGGCATTTAGTTGTGTGTAGAAGAAGGAGCTGAATAGAGATGTGGGCAATGGGCGTACAGGGCTAACTGGGAAGACAGCTGTTGGGATTTCTAACGAAACTCCATTAGAATGTGTGTAGAGAAAGCATCTGCATAGCTCGTGGGCTGCAAGTGAAAGCAGCAAAGCAGCGATACTACACTTCTTCCAGACGCATTTTGCGGTGACGGCAAGTGCTCGTGTGGCCATACTTGTGACCTCAGCGGATCTCAACGAAATCAAATGTGAAGTCAGTCAGACTTTCATGGCTATCTTTGGTACTACTTGTGGACTGAGCCCAGGCGACTTGGCAACTCTCTGTGAGCCAGCGCTTCGGTTTCACCTCTCGCGTTGAAGTATGGGGTTGCCGGCAAAGGATTGAGGCACAGCTGCATGTGTACGTTTGTGTGTATGAGGGGGGGGGGGGGGGGTATATGTCTGAGTACTTGCACTCATCTGTATGTGTGTTTCTGTGTGTCGTTGCAACTGCGCCAGGAATTTGATCCGGAATCATTTTACCAAGAAGTACGGGTCAGTCAGGATGAGGCTCAGGAGAAGCTTGCCGCTCTAAAATCCTCTCACACCGTGCCGCGCTACATCCAGAGTCGACTGAAGCAGCTGGAAGAGGGTGCCGATGGTATGGAGCGGCATGCGTTATGTCTGGCAATGAACATTTTATGTTTCCTCCGATGCACGTAACTATTCCCACCAGTATTTGTAGTTATCAGTCACTTACTGTTATCTTTGAAGATGACATCATCCCCGCTCTTCATTGTATGTGAAGTGCACAGTATGCAGATGCCATGTTGGTGTTCTCTATCTGTATCAGGTTTTGTATCGCGCTGCATGTCCCCCGCGATCAGCAGAAGTTCTTCGCCAGTCCGAGAAGGTAGTGTGGAGGTAAGGTGACATGGAGCTGCGAAATGTCCACTGGTCCCGTCTTTCTTTTGTTGATATCTGTATGACCCCAGGGTGCGTGACATGTACATACCACATTGTACTTTAGCCCACAGGGAGATATTAAATAGTTACGACTCCTAGTCTCATGTATGATGGCGGTAGCAGCAGTGAAGTGCCTTGGAATCCATCCACAGGGCAGTTACATGTAAACTCCAAGATGCTCCCCATGTGTGATAGTCCGTTTCTGTGCAATTTTTCACTTTGGTCTTCCCGTTGATGACAGGAGGCATCGTCCATGCCCAAGGAGGAGTCTTTTGAAATGGTGAAGCTCATCAGCAATGGTGCTTACAGGTATGTGATAGGAAGCCAGCCATTTCTGTAGTGTGCTACAAAAAAAAAACAGGTTTTACCAACCAAGATGAGCTAGGTTTGCTCTGGCAGTGTTACCAATTCTTTGGTAACCAGTGGATTCCTATGCTTATGGGCTGTGGAATGTATACATGTACGCCATCCCTCTGCACAGTGCTTGGTGCAGGTATTCTGTGTGTATCTGTGTGGTTATTAATGCACTGTGTGTGTCACTGTGTGTGTCTGTGTCTTTGTGTCGGCCAGTTCGGTACACTTAGCCAGACATAAAGACAGTCAGAAATTGTTTGCTATGAAGAAAGTCAGCAAGATCAACATGATTCGCAAGAAGCAGGTAAGTTTACTAGTTGTTAGTTCGGCCATTGAGTGAGTATGGGGGCTGCTGCTCAATTTTACTTTCATGTGGGCTAATGCACTATGTCTCAATACATAGCGAATCACATAACTTGAACTTCTTCATTCACTCTCCTCTGTAAACTATGTGCGACTTTGTTCTCCACTTCTGCCTGTTTCTCTGTAGGTCGAGCAAGTATTCTGTGAACGGGACATCTTGACATTTGCAGAGAATCCGTTTGTTGTCAGCATGATTTGCACTTTTGAGACTAAGGTAATTCGCTGGTGATTATGATCTAAGGGTCCATAGGGCTGTTTCAGTATGTGACATCTGACTGAATGGTATGGGGGCTTCTTTTGCAAGACTCTAAATGTCATTGTACACTCCCTAGAGGAAAGCACACTTCAGTCTGAACCTATGGTCTCTGTTCTATTCTGTTGTCGACTCAATGCGGCTCTGTCTGTCAACCTGCCTATTATCTTTCAGACTCATCTGTGCATGGTGCTGGAGTACGTAGAAGGCGGCGACTGCGCTACTCTGCTGAAGAATATGCAGGGACCAATTCCGCTTGAGTTAGCACGGTAAGCCCGAACAATGGCTTTGTTACTAGTGAGCAGCTCTGTTGGTGCTCACAGGGATCTTTAATGGCCAACCCGATTGAATAGTCGGTGATAACATGGATGTGTGATGCTTCACTTTCTTCTGCATGGTTGGCCTGTGTCATGCCATGGTGTATGTTAGTGCGGTAGTATAATTATTATGCCTGTAGCATTAGAATTGTACCCTGTGCTCTTTTCCTTGCAGCGTATTTGACTGTGTATGTGTGGCTGGTTGTGCCCATAGGTGGTCCGTGCTGCTCTTTTCATGTTTTGTACTACTTGTGTCTGCTTGTTTTCAGGCTGTGAATGAACCACGTCATTATGGGACATCTATATGTGCGTAGCAAAACCGTGCATATGCCCTTCTGTGTTTCTTGTGCTGTCTGTTTTGCTGCTCTGCAGGCTATATTTTGCGGAGACTGTGTTGGCACTGGAATACCTGCACAACTACGGTGTGGTCCATCGCGATCTAAAACCAGACAAGTATGTCCCAGCGTTCTTTTGTAACAATACCCCCCCCCCCCCGGTCAATCCCTGAACCTGGTACCGCTATACTACCCTCAACACAAAGGGGCTGTGGTTACTTGACTTGGCAGGTGATTTGTTTGCAGGTCCTGCTGACCCGTTTGGACCCAGTATAGGATCATATATCTCAACAGTGCTGTTTGTTTGACGCTGTTTCCCGTCACAGCTTGCTGATAACATCAGAAGGCCACGTCAAGCTGACTGACTTTGGCCTGTCCAAGATGGGTCTCATGAGCTGTAAGTTTGTATATGGCTCGTGCTTCAAGGTAGCGTGGTAGCAGCATCTGGACTATAGGCCACATAGGTGGACTTCATTAGAAATAGGTCCATTGCCTTGCAGGCTGCCAGTAATGCAAAAATTGATAATGCTTGCTCATTACGCACAGCTGGGAAAGATACTTGTACTAGCGGCATTACCTTGTCAAGCCCTGGGGTCTAGCAATGGACAATGAATGGTGCTGAGCCGTGTAATATTTTGTGCAACTATGGCAAACGCAAGCAGCGTGCCGTGCCGGCTGCGGTGAATGCTCTATTCAAGTACATGTATACGGGTTCCCTTCGTCAGAACTATGTTGTGCTAATGTTATACTCATAATTATACAAACGTAGTTCCAAGGTGTACTTGGAACAGTGTGGCTAGTCATTATCATACATCACTCAACTCGTATTAACTTTTGTTCCTCTGTAGATGCCACGACAATGTATGAAAGCGGCCTTGGAAAGCAGCAGATCTTCACGGACGAACAGCTGTACGGAACACCAGATTACATTGCACCGGAGGTCATTCTCAGAAGTGGTTATGGTAAGTGGTCTAATGTTGCCGGCTGTGGTCGCACGTGTTGCTACCTTTGAACAAGTGTAGGGAGCTCTTCCAGATACAATACTATGGTTCAGACGTGTGAACAAGAAGTCGCTCGGGGATTACGGGAAGGTTGCCGGTGGTGTTTTATTGAACCTTTTTTTTTCGTGCATTGAGCCTGTCTGTGTTATCCTGTGCGCGATTGCAGGTTTTCCAGTGGACTGGTGGGCTATGGGAATCATTCTCTATGAGTTCCTAGTCGGCCTTGTCCCGTTCTACGTCGAAAGTGGCCTAGTTGATGAACTGTTTGAGCAAATCACGGCTGAAGATGTAGAGCCTGACTTCCCCGACGATCCACCGTTGCCCGATGAAGCAGTGAACCTCATCAAATGCCTTCTTGTGCGAACTCCGACGGAACGCTTGGGATCCCATGGACCCGGTATGTTGCGGTCACACGTATACAGACACACATACACACCCCTGTCACACATACCTGTACATCCACACACACTGCTGTTTCAATGCAGATATCACTAGAATAAACCCAACTGTGATACAGTTTAGTGTTCTTTTGCTTGTACGACAGCCGTCAATGGAGCAAATTCTATGAGATGACAACACGATAGCAGCACGACTGTCTGGTGCAGATGGCTTTGAAACACCCCAAATGTATCATCCGGGGTGAAGTTCCTAATTCGTCCCATGATTACGTGACGTTTCTGTCTCAGAAATGTCTTTTTGAAAGTTCCACATACTAGGTAGGCCAAGAACCCCCCCCCCCCCTCGCACTACTTGTGGTGGTGGCTACTAAATAATAGCGGCAAGAATTTACCTCTTGATGAGTCATACATTTTACCTTCCTCTCTCTCTCCCTCTCTCCCTCTCTCTCTCTCTCTCTCTCTCTCTCTCTCTCTCTCTCTCTCTCTCTCTCCCTCTCCCCCTCTCTCTCTCTCTCTCTCTCTCTCTCTCTCTCTCTCTCTCTCTCTCTCTCTCTCTCTCTCTCTCTCTCTCGCTCTCTCTCTCTCTCTCTCTCTCTCTCTCTCTCTCTCTCTCTCTCTCTCTCTCACACACACACCTCTTCTCCTTTTCTTCTTATTCTCCTCCTCCTCCTCCTTTTCCTGCTCCTCCAGATGACGTGAAGAAGCACTTCTTCTTTCAACCAGTAGACTGGAGAACACTGTTGCTTCAAAAGGCAGAGTTTGTGCCTCACTTGGACAATCCAGAAGACACCAGCTACTTTGATCGTAAGTCTCAGTCCGCAGAGTATGTTGAGCCATGCTGATTGGCCCATCATATTTGGCTACTATGCCGAGGCCATGTTAGAATGCATCCTTTTGGAAGTGTCCTATCCCTCACCCAGTTGAATATGATCACCTGTGCTTTGCTGATTTTGTTTACTGCATCGCAGCACGCACTGATCGCTACAACCACACACTGGAGGGAGAAGAGGAGGTCGACGGCCCCATCGATCTGGACAACTCCTTCCAGGGCTTCACATCGGTATCTCCCAGGTTCATGGCTATCAACTCGCCCAACAATAGCCGGCGCACAAGCAACTCCGATCAGCCCGACTTGCTCAGCGATTCTTCATCTCCCAGTCCTCATCGCAGTCTATCGAAATCCATGAACATTCACTCTCGCTCGCTCTCATCCTCTTCCACCACCAGCACTTTCAAGTACGTACTGTTAGTGTTTTCAGGGACCTGTGTGAACTGTAGGATCTTGTTCTTTTCTCTGAATTCAATCCGACAGGCCATTGGGTATTCCTCTGACTACAGATTATGCTGAGCCTGAAGGTATCACTATGTATGCACACGTTGTATTATCAAGGGAATTCTGAAAGAAGGTGATTTTGCAACTCTAGGGTGGTGCCGAAGCAGTAGCCACTGCATAACTTATGGTAGTATGTGCATTGATGAAAGTGCAACAATCCACTGATCACAATTCAGATTTCAAAGGCTCTTTTCTCTTCACGAACTAACTCGCAGTTGATGTATTGCTTATGGCTGCAGGCAAATTGCTGAGGGTGATGAAGAGCATGTGTCAGCTCCCGACACGCCAGAACTGTTGCTTCAGCCGCCTACTCCCAGCGAGACACCACTGCGGTTCTCCTCGCCCCAGCCATCACCCTCCGCCTCGCCAATACCGGGTAGCCACACGTCAACGCCCAGTGCGTCGTCTAGTGTTCCTTTTTCTGCCCCCGCTGACAGACACCAGAAGCCCAGAGGAAAGTCGTCCGTGCACAAGCCACCGGATCTGAAACTGAGCATGCCGTCGTCGGACAAGGGCAAACGCAGCAAGTCATTGGAGGAGAATGGAGAGCCAGGTAGGTCCAACACATCCACAATAGACATCCACGTACTGGTGTTCATGTTCAGAAAATGCAATCGCTTCTCTCCACTTGTACACGGCGTGCTTGGTGCGCAATGGCATGCATAGCATACAGCCACAGAATGTAGAATGAACAATGACTTTGTGTTGGTGGTGGCGGTGGCGGCTTTATCCTCTGGGGGAGCTTTCACTGGGAGTTAAATAATTATAATCGGACTAGGAAATACCGAATCTGGCAATGACAGCTAACAGCGTTGCCCCGGGGGCAGCATGTGTCCAGAGTGCCAGCATCGGTTGTAGTGACAAATTGGAAATAGGACATGTTTGCCTGCCTGCCTGCCTGTTACAAGACAAGTAAGGGGTGATGCCTGCCTGTTGTAGATTATTGTTACTATAGCCAAGCTTCACAGTGGTAATATTATAAAATCAAAGGCAATCGCAATATACTGCCACACGGCCTGATGCTAATGGTCGCGGTTGATATGGCATTATGTGCTATGTGCTGTGTGCTGTGTAGGTGTGAGTGTCAGTCTGCCCAATAGCCCCAAGCCGAATATTGTTGGCAGCAGCATGGCCATGAACAGCATGCAGGCAGCAATCGCCTCCATCTCATCCAGCCTGCAGTCGGTGGGTAGCCCACGCTCACCGGCTGCCGTCTACACGGTGGAGAGAGGACCGCAGGGTTACGGCATGGAGCTCAGAGCCATCCGTGTCTACCTGGGCGAGTCCGATAAGTACTGTGTGCAGCACATCGTCAAGGTCAGTGTCTTCCCCCTCCCCTGCGCCAACACTCCAGTGTCTGTACTGCTGGTCTAAGCTAGGCTTTACGGTTGACAATTGCTCCCTGGGTGTAGCAGGTGGGGGTAGTTCACATGCAACAGTGCTTGCTGTCGTGTAGGCTACTGATATGCATGTCGTGCTTACCACATGTGCACAGTGGATCCAGGGGCGTCGCACACGGTACGGTCACTACGGTATTGACCGTACCACTTTTTGCCCCAGATACCCGTGAGTCAACAAAATACACTGATCTGGGATCTAAAATTCCAAAATTTTCGGCTCAGCCACCACTCCCCCACGAGTCAATTGTACTTCAGATGGCTGACCGTACCACACTAAAATACCTTCCGACGCCCTTGGGATCATACATCGGGTCGGCGAACCACGCTTAGTGTGCCTGTACTGATATTCACCGTACTGTACACGTAACCTTCCATCCTGTGGCAGATCTATGTGCATGTCATCCAACGGGAGAAGTCTTGGTAATTCTCTACTCCAGTAGAGCTTTACCACTGTGCTTTCTTGCCATTATGTATGATGGCATGCAATAAATATTTAAATGCTGAAATGTGTAATATTATTAGCTAATGTCCGTACTCCTCGGTGAGGTTACTGTTGTTAGCCTCCAGTCAAGAATAACAGCTAATACCTGGCCGTTGTATGTCCGTTTTCCTGACATTCTCTCCGTGTGAATGCATGTCTTAGTATGCATGTTGCAGGTGTGGCTGTGTGTAATTGTGGGAAGAGGGTCTATGGTCGTGTTCTCATTGTGTTTCATTGCCTAGATATTTGCTTTTAAGATGTGTGCATGTGTGAGTGAGTGAGTGTGTACATGTATACGTACGCGCGTATGTGTGCGTGCGTGCGTGCGTGTGTGACCTGCTAATGAGTAATGAGTGATGGTGCTAACTTGCTAACCCTGCTGACTCGGTAGCATACATGTGTGTGTGTGTTTATGTTTATGTGTATACACTTGCTGTATCCTATATATAATGCATGGGTACTGTTGCTACAATGATGCGCATGCTGGCAACTCGGCACAGGACGTTGTGGAACGCGGAGCAGCGTGGTCAGCGGGCATTCGAAGCAATTACTTGATCACTGCTATTGACGATGTGGTGAGTTCAACATCCTTCCCTTTGTGCACGTGCTATTCTGCTGCTGCTCCTGAATAATGCAGTGCACGCTTCACCTCTTGGCATCGATTACGAAATGCTCTGCACTTGTCCTGCTGCGAATATACGGGCATACCGTCATGTTGCTTGCTATACTGCTCCACACTTCTCTGAGTGCATGCATTGAAGCATCAGTGTCCTTATTGAGCCGTCTTTGTGTGCTGCTGCTGCTGCTGCTATCTCCTTGCTGTGGTGCATAGCCGGTGGCTGGACTCAAGCACACGGATGTCGTACACTTGCTACTGGCTGGTGGCAAGAAGCAGGTTACGTTCAACATGGTCCACCTCGAGGAGACCTCAATCACATCCGGTGGCCGCAAGCGTACACCGTCTCATGCGCACCGTTTGAGCAGCAAACAGGAGCTGGGCTTGGGCAAGCTCTTTCGCCAGACCAGCGCCAAGAAGTCTCGCCAGCGCATGGCCGCACTGTTCTCACTTCGTCACGGCCGCAAAACAAGAGATAGCAACGCAGCTGCACAGCCGCCTGCTGCTGGTTCGTCCGCCGGAGGAACCTCTGCGGCTGGTTCATCGAACACTCTGCCACTAACTCCCAGTGGAAAGGGTGCCATTTCAAATTCCATCAGTAAGCTGGCCCGTATGATAGTGAAGCCTCGTCGCCGATCTTCAGTTGCCAGCATGCCAGTATCTCCCTTGGCTAGAGCACCGTCACCAGGTAGCGTTGCATCGCCGACTAGCAACAGTCCACCGCTGCTGCGTGCCAGTTCGCCACTGGTCCCACTGGCACCAGCACCGCACAGCTCCGTGGCGAGTGCCGTGAGCCAGTCTCACATTCCTCTTCGCAAGACGATGAGCGCATCCGGCGTAGCGACGTCGCACACCCTGCCGAGGCATGCGGGCAGTGCACTGCTGGATGTGCCGGCGTCAAAGAACACAAGCTCACCACTGCTGCGGAGAACCCTATCACCTGATCATGGCTCCTCGCCAGAAAACTCCCCGACGCATAGCAGCAGTAGTGGCAGTAGCTTAGATAGTGTGTCCCCTCTTACAGCCAACTGGGGAGGAAGTCAGCCCACTTCCCCTACGTCCACTTCAGGTCCGAAAGCCAAAAAGGCACTTCGACGAGCCAGCACTCTCTCACCATCTCATTCCCGGCCTGCCAAACACCAGAGGAAAATCTCTTGGCAGGAAAAGACGCAGCGCTTTGAGGACTTGTGATTAGACTGAGAAGCTCCCTCAACTGGGGACCCACTGGCCTGGTGTTGTGGCCTTCCTCAGAAGCGTGCTAGCTGCCCGTGTTTTGAATGATTGACAGAAAGCAGAGAGGTGTCCTGCTGTTTGGCCTGGCTGCGGCACAGTCATCGGGTTGTTGTCTGTAACAGGTATCAAGTTAAATCATCGGCATGCACCTCCACCTTTTGCTCCACCGACAGTAGCAGCACACAGACGCTGTGTACAACAACTGACGTCTCCTGGGACGGCACCTCAAGGTGTAGTCTTGTGGCCGTTGTTGCTTTGTAGAAGAAAGTGTCTGCATCCAACAAACCACTGCAGAGTAGTTGCTAAAAGGCCTCACTGCCTTACACGAATGCCCAATGCGGTATTGAATACAGTTTGCATAGATACGAGACCATGCGTGTACTGATAACCATGCACGTACTAGTGCACAACTGGACAGATTTGAACTGATAACAACCTAAATGACTGTTGACATTTTGTTTGTAGATAATTCCTTGTATTCCTCGCGTGACTGAGCACAAAGACAGCCACTGTCAGTGCTTCAATTCTGTATTATTTGTTGATATTCCACTCTGTCGTACATGTCGCGCCGTGCAATTTTAGTGTTGTGTGGCTGCTAATCCCGTTGCTTTCTTGAATCTTGAGATGAGAGGTTGTCGCTAACTGTTTAGCATGCATAATTGTGGTTGTGTGTGAGAGCGTATTTGAACATGTCAAGTCTGTTGGTTTTCCTCCTCTTTTGTTTAAAAAAATTGCAACATCCTATCCGCCCTATTACATTCTCTCACTGTTGAAGACATCAGACATTCGTACCTGGAGTACCTGCGCCACATCTTCATTTTTCCTACACACATACACTCACAGACGAGATGAGACATTGTTGTGAGAGGTTCGTTGACGTGACTAACTTTACAGGTACTTTGCCTGGATGCCATACTGATTTGAGTTCGTGATTTGCAGTAGGTAACACTCGACTACGAGTGTACTCCTGCGGCCGTGCGTGTGTGTGTGCGTGTGCGTGTGTGTGTGTGTGCGTGCGTGCGTGCGGGCGGGCGGGCGAGCGTGTGTGCGCGTGTGTGGATGAACATTTACATGTATACAGTGGACACGAATGTTTGCGGACCGGGGAATATTTCCCTTGTTATGAGAAGTTCGTATCGGCAGACACTTGTCCGGTTTCAGACATGTATTCCGCTCTAAATCTTCATGCGTGTTAACCCGAGTTTTGTACCGGTACCGTGACATACTATGCATGTTCTTGTGTCCGTGACGTGAGTTGCGCACAGATCATTCAGAAAGCATGCCCGTATTATGCACATGGGTTCATGTGAGTAAGAAAAGTTGTGAATCTCTGCAGCCATGTTGTGAATGATGGTTTGATTTGTACTTGAAAGTTGAATTCTAAATTATTGGTGTGTGTGTGTGGGTGTGGGTGTATGTGTGCATCTGTGCGTGGTTGTGTCTCTACATGTGTGTGTGTGTGTGTGTGTGTGTGTGTGTGTGTGTGTGTGTGTGTGTGTGTGTGTGTGTGTGTGTGTGTGTGTGTGTGTGTGTGTGTGTGTGTGTGTGTGTGTGTGTGTGTGTGTGTGTGTGTGTGTGTGTGTGTGTGTGTGTGTGTGTGTGTGTGTGTGTGTGTGTGTGTGTGTGTGTGTGTGTGTGTGTGTGTGTGTGTGTGTGTGTGTGTGTGTGTGAGAGAGAGAGAGAGAGAGAGAGAGAGAGAGAGAGAGAGAGAGAGAGAGAGAGAGAGAGAGAGAGAGAGAGAGAGAGAGAGAGAGAGAGAGAGAGAGAGAGAGAGAGAGAGAGAGAGAGAGAGAGAGAGAGTTGGCCAGGCTGAGTAAGTTCAGTTAATGGATACTGTGGCATCACTGCTGGCAGGTGAAAGAAACAGTATAACCGATATGTACTACTAGTACACATCAGCACTGCGAGTAGGGTTGCTCTTTTGCTATTTCACCCCCATCATGCACCATCTCAACCACTACTTGAAATGATAACTGCTTGAAATATTGCTGTCTTACCTTCTACCGTGCATACATCAATACAGGTCGGTTGAATGCTGTGTATGTCAAAGACAGTGATGTCGTAAACAATCAGTAATAACGTGGGCATGATGTGTCATTGATCAACTTGTGACATGGCATAAGCCAATGCATGTGTGGAGTGTAGGGTTGGTACATGCATACCGGTAGTTGCATACTCAGTACTGCATGTCACTACCACTAATCACCATACTATCTAGGGGGGGGGGGGGGGGGGTATCTAGGGAGTATTACTACCATTCCATTTCAGACCAGTAGCACCACTGCAACTAATTCTCTGTATTGTTTTAGCTACTACAAGTACTAATGATTTTGCATTCACTGTAAATACTAAATACCCTGTGTGACCAGCTCAGATTTCATCCTGAATCACGGTTGTTAGATTGGAATCCGAATGTACCCATGCACGTTCCTGGTGGTTCGGTTCGGTTTGTTCAGATTGAGACAATGATGTGTTGTGAAGTTGCTGTGTGGAATGAAGGGGGGGGGGGCAATTATTTCATGAAACCTGTGCATGAAGTCTGTGCGGCATGCTGGTACAGTCATGTGTTTGCAATGAGGATGCTTCAGTGCAGTTCTCAGTCCTATATTCAGAACCATTCATAGTTGTACAACTCAGTAATCACAGTCATTAGGCCAAAACAAATAATGACCTTGTTTCCGGTCGCCCGACCGGGCCACTTTTTCCCAAATTCTGAAACTTTTTTTTGGTCCCAAATGTATGCAAACGGTGGCAATGCCATGTGTGCAAGTGCATTCAACGAGTCATAACTCAGTCAAATCTCAACCGAATTCCACAATCGAAACACCTACAAGGTAGCATAGCTTCTCAGCTGTCGGCTCGAAAACCTCCGGGGTCGATACGAGCCAGAATAACGGAGCTGGAGGGACTCGAACTGTTTGCTTGATTTCTCAGAGTGTACGAAAACAGGAATACACCACATGCTGTACAAGAACAGTGATTCTGACATGTCACATGACAATCGACATGGCAACAGCGAATCCTAGCGCGACTTGCCGTGCTTTGAATCAGCCACTGAAGACCTGTGAGCGCTTGCAGGTCTCCGATTTTCCAATCGGAGCACGCCCAGGCGTGCTCCGATTGAATCGGAGCACGCCTAGGCGTGCTCCGATTCAGCCATCAGAGGCCGCTTTTTTTTTTAGCTGACTAGACCGCCCTTGTTTTATCTCTGTGTTGTGACTGTGTACATTAGTCATTATGTAACATGTCTGAAGTACTAAACTGGCGACTAGTTGTGTTCCTTGTCTGGTCTAGTGTGCGTGCCTTGAGTAGGTACTAGGTATGTGTGAAGTACTACATGTAGTAGTACTAGTAGTACGAAGTAGTTCGTGCAATGCATGTCAGAAATGGTATCAAAGCTCCGATTCAGCCATCAGAGGCCGCTTTTTTTTTTAGCTGACTAGACCGCCCTTGTTTTATCTCTGTGTTGTGACTGTGTACATTAGTCATTATGTAACATGTCTGAAGTACTAAACTGGCGACTAGTTGTGTTCCTTGTCTGGTCTAGTGTGCGTGCCTTGAGTAGGTACTAGGTATGTGTGAAGTACTACATGTAGTAGTACTAGTAGTACGAAGTAGTTCGTGCAATGCATGTCAGAAATGGTATCAAAGCATTCGTACTCGGACTCAAGTGCTAGAATCGGAGCCCTCCGCGCTAGCGCGCGTCGGGCTCCGATTCCGCACTTTCGTCCTCGTACTCATGCTCGATTCCATACGTCAGTCAACTAACTTTGACATTGATCCTTGCCATGATATAATGTACAATGTACATGTACATGTGTAGGTACTCTTGTCCATCAATACCACAACGATTGAGGAACCAAAAAAAGTATCCAAAAAAAGTTTCATTCCGGCCGACCGAGTCTCCTTTTTGAGGGGTTGCCGACCGGAAACAAGCCTATTTTTTGTTTTGGCCTTATTTGTTTGTGGTCTTATCTACAGGATGTGGTGGTAGATAGCCATGCATGGAGGTGCGGTATTCGACCAGATTACCTAATTGTCAGCATTGACGAAGTGGTAAGTCAACGTGCATGTAGTACTAGTACTAGTACTCGTGCATGCCTGGAGACTGAGTAACACCTCCAGAGGATTTGTACGTTCGAACGAATCACATGCACACCACAGGGTGCATAGAATGGCCTTGGAGAGTTGGGTGCATTTGCAGTGGTTCCCGGACTTGGTCCTAACCGACTGGTACCAACACATAGCAGTAAAATATTGTTTTGATAACAAACATTGGCAGCACTACCTGTTTCCTGGGCATGCCATAACCCAGTCGGTCAGTATGCTACTGTACAGAATATCACATTGCCAGACTTTCTCATTGCCGAGTGCTTCCTAATTTACATCATGTATTTGTTTCCTGACAGTGCCATGGCAATGTGTTTCTCAACGCGGTGTAGGAAAAAGGATAATGTCGGTGTCAACCGCTGTGTTCACTTTCCATACAGTGTACATAACTCTTGCCCTGCCTACTTTCTTGTACTTGATGTATGGTCTGCAGGAAGTTGGTGGCTTGAAGCATACCGATGTTGTCCAGCTACTGCTGGCTGGTGGAAAGAAGAAAGTGACATTCAGTATGCTGCCGCTCGAGGACACCACTATCAGTACGGGCGGCCGGAAACGCCTGAACTCCGTCAGTCGGCGCGTGAGCAGCCGTGAAGAGGACAACCTGAAGCGCTTCGTGCGCCAGGGCAGTGGCAAGCGCAGGAACCGCCTCAACAACTTCAACATGCCGCAGATCTTCTCGCGCTCGCGCCAGGGCAGCCGCAAGGGCAAGGAGGGAAAGGAGTCCAGCGGAAAGCGCTCGCGATCAAACTCGGACAACCAGAGCAACAAAAACCCATCCCCTGCCACCAGTCCCACCTCTGTGCCGACCACCCCATCTCCCACACCGGCACGCAGCAGCACTGGCAAAGGGAAGTTCTCGTTTGGCAAGCTGGCACGCATCCTCAACAAGCCCCGCAAGCCATCGCAGACTATTTCACCGCTGGCGTTGAATTCCTCCGGCAGCAGCAGCACTCTCTCCTCACCTACGGGCAGTAGTCCACCGGCAGGACGGTCATTCCTCGCTCACACAGTCACCGGCTCCGAGGTGGCACAGAACTATACCGGTAGCATGCGCCGAGCAGCAAGCACTTCGCAAGTCCCGTCGTCGTCGTCGTCGCAGTCTCCATCGCTACTCTCGCCCACGAGCATACCATCGACTTCTGCCGTGCAGCGAACATCGCAACATGCCGCTGTCATGCACGACATCAAATCCAGCGGGTCACCGTTGCTGCGGCGGGCATTGTCTCCCGATCCGACCTCTCCCCCTGCACACCAGCAGCAGCAGCAACAAGCCCAGTCTTCATCGGCTGGAAGTGATGCACCAGCATCATCACCGCTAGCCGTCCGCCACAACACTAACCCCACATCGCCGACTAAACACGGCATGAGGCGTGCAGTGTCCACGTCTACACCACCCAGAGCAAGGTCACATAGCTCACAAGAGCGAATGAGGAAGATCTCGTGGGAAGAACGTAAAAAATGGTTCGACAACAGATGAGGCCGGCATGCCACTAACAAGTTGGGCAATGTGAAGAAACTGGTCCGTATTCGTATACTGTCATTGACAGTGTAGCTGCTGGATATTGGATCCTTGACTACTAGTATGTTGGTTAAGTCAGACAAACAGTGCGAGGTAGAACTGTGTAAGCTATGTTTAGTTATACATGTACTACTGTAGTCCATACGAGTAACAACATAAGCTAGAGTTGTGTAGCTGCAGACTGCAGTCCTCCATAGGAAACCTCACCCACTATCTCCACCGTAGAGTTGCTGAACGCCACGCTTTGTAGTAGTAGCAGTAGCAGCGCCGACACACCCCCGGGCCTAGCCACACACCCTCGGGCCTAGCCGTCCAACCAGACACCTCTACTCACTGTGCTTTGGCTATCGTGGTTTCATGCGTGTGTGCGTGTGTGCGCTCGCACGCGCGTGCACGCCCACCAAGCACGGGCGTGCTATCATGGCAGAAGCTACTGTGTACATATTCCTTGACTCCCGGTGACTTCTATCGTTGCCTGCGCAGCCTATAGGAAGAATCGACCGAATTGGTGTAGAGAACGATTCCTCCGGCTGGTGTCTAGATGACAGAACTGAAGGTCCAGATAACAAATTTATTATTTCCAGATTTTTCTAACCTACCAAATCCAGTTGCAACGACCCGCCATTGGAGTAGCTATTCCTGAGTTTTCTGATAAATTATCATCACTCCCCTTCCTGTTTCTGTTGTTCTCCGCTAACTGTAAATACAGTCATACCCTGCTCGTGTGAATAATCAGGCTGCTGACAGTGCTGTTGTTTTGATGTATGTACATACGTTGGTTGACAAGACTGCATTCAATCTTCAGATCATGTGACAGTGAATACTGTAATATTGAAGCCGCTGAGATCCGCCTGGTACTGCCCACCCAGGCTGGAAAGGTCGGCTGTTGCTGACCTGGGCAATCCGGGATCCGGCGGCGGCTATGGTGTGTGATGCACTGCATGTAGGGAGTTGGGGTAACCAGCATGGGTGGGTGGAGGAGGGTGGGGGTTCAGGTCATGCCGTTGCTTGATGTGAACTTTCTGGAGATTGTAATGCCAGCAAGATCTACTACTACATGTCAAACAGTTAGTTGATCTACAGACTACCTACCGTGAGCTCCTATTACACTTACCACTAAGACCAGTAATAATAATATCATTACTTCATAGAATGTACTTAGAGAACTGATCGACAATGCCATGCCGGTTTTTTCGGGTTAGCATGTCGCATGATATACGGGTAGTTCGTCTAGTGTTGTCTGATGATTGCACTGAGCATGGAAAGAGTCAGGGTTGCAACCAGCTAGTCTTGCTCCACTGTGTTGTACTGAAGCAGGATTCCAGTACCACTGTGTGGAGTGCAAAACCTGGCCTGGGGGAATTAATTCAGCCATGTACATGTAACTACATCAGCATCCAGCCTGCCATAATAGCATTAATACCTCTACCGGTATGGTAATAGTCGCTAGTGGTAATGGCAATGTGATCTCCTAGATCCTTTGAATCAAAGGATGTCACATTTTATTACATGTACCAGCTGCATCCGAACAAGTGTTTGCTGAGGCCCCGACACCTGCTGCCATACTGTACTAGTACTAGTAGTACTACTAGTACAGTAGTAGATCTACTGATCACTGACACTGCCTGTACGATCGATTTGCAATCGCCATAACATTCGCTACCAAGGCGACGTGCCAGTTCGGAGCTGAATCAGTGAGTGCCACTGGCATTGGCAAGTGACAGCAAAACTAATCAAAGTCTACAATCATGCTTGCAACCAGAAGATACAACACCAAAACGGTGCACCAGGACTCGAGTCGAGGAGGCTGGTGTTGCTTTCCGTTCACTAAAAACGATCTCTTGACGAGATCGAGAGGTGGAGGTCGGTGTGTATTGCGGTGAAAATACTACGCATTGCTCTAGCGACCACCGGCCACAACACTCAGTAAACGCGCTGGAGTTTCGAGTCCTGTTGGCAAGGCCATGTCGTGGGTCTTCTGGGTGTGATTTGCTAGGAAGGAAACAGCGGTCGCCACAATGAGCTATCGTCCGACTTTGGCAGGTGTGGATGAGTCCGTGCAGGACTATTTCGTACTGAATCAAATCCCGGAGATAGTGGAGAGCTTGCTGGCCTCTGTGTTGGTAGCACGACCGGAGGACCCGTGGACGTACGTGCAGGAGAAACTGGAATGGCTGCAGACGTCGGACGATTTCGAGGGCACGTATGCCTGGGATATGTTTATCGATGATGAATTGCGACCACCGAAACGCACGTTCAATGTACGTAGCTACATGGATAGCTTAATGGGTTATGACGAGGAGATGAGCGAAGAGTACGAGAAGGCGTGCAATCTGCACGTCAGGCTGTTGTTGCGGAGAGTGATACGGGGTTGGAGGCGCTGGACCATTGCTCACCAGGAGAAGCGGGTACTGCTGCACCAGCGCATGGATGAGGCACGCGACTGGCATCGACTGTATGCGCAGCGCGTGCACTTTGCCAAGTGGTGCCTGTGGCTGAGACGATATGCTGGTCGGCTTCACACGTTCTCGGCCAGCCTGACAGCTGTAGCCAATGTCAGCACGGAGCGGTTTGTGTTCCGCGCCTGGCATAAGTACACGCAGGAAGCCGTGCGTACAACGCGCTGGTTTCAGGCGTGTGAAGGGGACGATGACGAGAACGTTGGCGATGGGACTGGTCAATCGACTGCACTCCGTCCACCCGGCTGCGACGATGTCAGCTTGTTACCTCGTGTCCTGGCGGTGAAGGTCTTCTCCTATCTGACTGTGCCGGAGCTGGCTAACTGCTCGCGCTCATGTCGTAGCTGGAAGGTAATAGTACAGCAGACCGGCCTCTGGAGTCGTGTGGATCTGTCCACCTGTGCTCAGAAGGTCAGTGACGCTGCCCTGATGAAGATTCTCAACAGGTGTCGGCCGTTCCTTGTCCACCTCAATGTCCGCAGCTGTGATCAGCTCACGCCGCGTGGTTTGTCTGCCATAGGAGGCTGTACGAATCTTCAAGATCTGAACATGTCCGAGTGTGGTGAAGCGCTGACTGCCGAGTCACTGCAGAAGATCGTGGCCGGTTGCCGCAGCTTGCTGTATTTAAACATATCTTACTGCCACGTCACGGATGCGTGCCTGCGGGTGCTGTCGCGCCACTGTCCAAACCTGCAGCACTTGAGTCTAGCCGGGTGTGTGTCATTCACAAGCCGTGGTGTTCGTCACCTTTCCTCCGGCAATGGCTGCCACAAAGTCACCTACCTTGACCTGAGCGACTGTGTCCAGTTGACGACAGAGGCTACTTGGGCGATTGGTAAAGCATGCCCTCAGCTCAACACACTGGTACTGAATGATATGCCTCAGCTGGATGATGATTCACTGCGGGCTCTTGTCACCGACCTTCATAACGTGAAGCACATCTCGGTTATGGGATGTCCGAATGTATCTGACGGCTCGCTGAAGTTCCTGATGAAACAAGCTGCACAGCGCCTGATCTCCTTCAAGATTGAGAATAACAACCTGCTAACTGATTCATTTGTGAGGAGCCTGGCTCGTGCCGCTAGCCTGCGGCATCTGTGCCTGAACTCATGTGTCCGTTTGACCGACAACTCGCTGAGAGCTCTGAGCCAGTGCAAATACCTCGTCTCGCTGGATCTAACCAACTGTCTGCGTGTCTCGGACGTTGGAGTGCGGTACATTGTGGAAGGCGCTGCCGGAGCACAGCTGCGCAGCATCAACCTGACAAACTGTGTGCGTGTCAGCGATGTCACTCTGCTACGGCTGGCTAAGACATGTCAGGAGCTGCGCCATGCCGCCTTCTGCTTCTGCGAACATGTGCAAGATGCCGGTGTGGAAATGCTGGGAGACTTGCCCAACTTGATCTCTCTGGACCTGACTGGCTGCAAAGTGGCCGACGAGGGCATCTCGGCACTTGGCACCAACCCGCACTTCGCCGACCTGGTGCTGTCGGAATGCGTGGCCGTCACTGACAACGGCCTGCAGAAGATGTGCACGTTCTGTCCCAACCTGCACCTGCTCGATGTATCACACTGCCCGACCATCACTGACACCGCCATGAAGAACTTAGCATTCTTCTGCCACCTGATGACTGATGTGAACCTAACAGGCTGCAGCCAGTTGACCGACCTCACAGTGCAGTATCTATCATCCGGCTGCCATTTCCTGCACACTCTCGTTCTGGTGGGCTGCTCAAAGGTCACCGAGAAATCACTCAAGTTCCTGAAGCGTGGCTGCCCGGTACTGAGAGTGTTGGATCTCAGCGGCTGCAAGAAAATAACGAAGGGATCGATTGTGCGTGCCAATATGCCGCCGCTTCTCCACATCATCAAGCAGTCGGCACCAATCATCATGTCACCTGCTCCATCGCACCCCAGCACACCAAGGCCAACGGAACAAGGAGAAAGAGCAGGCATGGTACAAGTTTGATGTGCGGCCACTGTGCTAAGCAACTGTACACCTGCTGGAAGTTCGATCCAGTGCACTGCAAGAACAAGCTGGGAATTTAGTCACATGCACCCAAGCTATCTTTCCAGCACACACACACACACACCTTGGACCTGCCCATCGCGGAAGCGATGATAGCGAACAGCTATGTTAGACATAGCAACTTGTGCTGGGATTACACCATTCAACAGCTTGCAAGGCTGATGAATTGACCGCCACTAATTTTAGCCTGGTATCCACCACACAGCTGATTGAAGTGGCTTTTTCTGGCCAGTGAACACACACACACACACACACACACACACACACACAGGCACACACGCACACAATATGTGTGTGACTGTGCGCCTGTTGCCCGTGTGGCTAGCCAAGCTCAACAGTAGTCCATGACTTTGTCCTTGATACCAGCCAGCCTTTCATTGACCACATGGCAGCATCATTAGTCAATTCCACATCCAATGCGATAATAGTGCAAGCGCGACATCTAATCAATGCTAGAAATTATAGAATACAAACTCATCTGAACCCAGCAGCTTGACAAAACAAACTTACTTGAGACCAGAAACTAAAACGATATTTACAATAATACGAATATGTTGAGATCCAGATATGCAGTGATCATCACCACAATCGTGCGTAACTAGGACTAAAAAAGAGTGCATTCGGACCTCTGCATATGTACAGCAGCTGATTGCGCGAGATGGGCATTGTGCGCTATGGGCAGATAGCGAGACGGGCGCACTGCACGGAAATTCGGATAAGAAAACAAAATAGATGAGTGGGAACAGCAGACTGGGGCCAGTGGTTCACAGCCTGAAAAAAAGGCTATCGGGGTGACAGGTCAGCCCTCTCCAGTACACAGCACTGGCCTCCAGAACATTATATCTGTATAACTGTATGGGTAAATAGAAAGCGTGGGCAGAAAAAAGCAAGCAATGTACAAGCAGCAGAGATCAAACGGCGGGCGGGGGGGGGGGGGGGGGGGTTCCCTTGGAGTAAGCGACAGCCGACATGCGTGTCAGATCGTAGATAAATAGCCCCTGGCACATTCTCAACAATGCCATTTGAGAAGGTGCTAGACAACGGACCTGCAGACAAGCTGGAGGCAGGGTGGCTAGCTGTATGTTGGGATTGCCATATGCGACGGGGTCTTGGGTTGGGTGGAGTGTGGATGGTGAACACAGACACATTGTATCACTGCCGTGTCTTGAGAGCATTTGTTAACCTGCACATCAAACAAGAAATAGAACAACGAAAGTCACCAAAACAAGATCGGAAACATCAATACTTATTGAACATAAGCAATATCAAGAGTACATAACCCCCCCCCCCCCCCCAAGAGTGTGCAACTCCAGCTATGGAGTCTGCGACGGCAGAACATCACGTGACGAACCCGTACATATTAGTTGCACTCTGTGCATGATAGATACAGGGCTGTAGGGTTGTATGCAACCCTGCTTTGGGCTTAACTTTATTGTGATCACTTTGCACCGTTTGCCAACGTAGCCACTTGAACCATGTCACGTGATGTGATGTTCTGCCGTCGCAGCACTGCATAGACATTGTGCAGGCAGTTGCACACTTTTGGGGTTATGTACTCTTGGCAGTACGCATGGAGAATAATTAGAATAAAGCTATGAACAGGAAAAAATGCGCCCTCATAACAAGATGTTCCTTGCTTCTCGATTGTGATGTTTTCCAACTGATGAATGTCACAAGAAAACGATTTCAGAAACACTGGACCAACCTTGCTGACATGTGTGTATCATAGAGTCACGAGTGCATTGATACTGTTCATAGCTGTATTCAACTTAAATGTTGACCAGCAAAATAATCATAGCTGCTCTATTGAAAACATGCCTGTGAAATCCCAGATTGTACATCAACGGAGTGTGAGGAAGATGGCTACGAACTGAAAGGTTCACTGCGCAGATGGGGTCCTTACTCCCTATCAAGAGCAAGAAAGGGTTTGATTTGATGCAAAGGCATAGTAACTGTTGTAGGTACACAATACAGCGAAACTTGTACCTCCACGGGCCACAAAATCTGTACTAGTACTGTATAACCGAGGTACTAGTACTGTATAACCGAGGTACCAGTACTGTATAACCGAGGTACTAGTACTGTATAACCGAGGTCGTGACTACTGATGGTGAGAGGCTGAGGACCCTCCTTCCAACCATATCCAACAAGCTCCTCGAATGGGATTTGAAAGTGAATGAGACCAAAACAGAGCACACGCACATCGAACGGCACACTGATCGCATCGAGGAGGAGTGGCGAACCACCAAGAAACTCGGGTCCCTATTAGGTGATGCCGAGGATATGCTACGGCGACAGCAACTGGCAACTGTTGCCTTTGGTAAACTCTGGACGCTGTGGATCCGTAGGTCGCTAGTTTCGGAGGATCTCCGCATCCGGCTCTATAATGCCTTTGTACTCCCTGTACTCTGCTACAATTGTGCAACATGGGCACCAACGAAACAGCAGCTGAGCCGTATTGAGGCCTTCCACCGAAAACAGCTGCGGGCGCTAATCGGCATTGTGTTCCCGAATCGGATTAGGAACGAGAGGCTCTATGAGCGTACCGGCGCGGTTCCTCTCCGCATTATCATCTTGAGAGCTAGGTGGAGGCTCTTTGGGCACGTCCTCCGGCTCCCGGCTGACTCCCCACCATCCCTGGCCATGGGAGCGTACTTCGCAGAGCCTCGTCCAGCGGGCTGGAGGGGACGACCAAGACACACACTACCGACGCTACTACAAGATGATGCCAAGCGGATTGGACTTTCCTTGTCAAGCAAAGTCGATCTGGAGGCGTTCCGTGCCCTTGCTGCTGACCGAAGCGGTTGGGTGGGCATCTGTGCCCGAGTGGTGTCGGCACCCTAGTTTTTGTCTTCTTTTCGCATATTTCTTTTTTTTGAAACTGTTATGGTCTTTTGTATCTATTCGAAGTGGCTTATGCGAACATTTTTGGCTGGTTTGCATGATTCGCATGCCCATTAATGCAGCTGCAGGCCATGCTGATGTCTACGCGAACAAGCACATAATAATAATATAATAATAATAACCGAGGTACCAGTACTGTATAACCGAGGTACTAGTACTGTATAACCGAGGTACTAGTACTGTATAACCGAGGTACCAGTACTGTATAACCGAGGTACCAGTACTGTATAACCGAGGTACTTGTACTGTATAACCGAGGTACCAGTACTGTATAACCGAGGTACCAGTACTGTATAACCGAGGTACTTGTACTGTATAACCGAGGTACTTGTACTGTATAACCGAGGTACTAGTACTGTATAACCGAGGTACCAGTACTGTATAACCGAGGTACTAGTACTGTATAACCGAGGTACTAGTACTGTATAACCGAGGTACTAGTACTGTATAACCGAGGTACTAGTACTGTATAATCGAGGTACTAGTACTGTATAACCGAGGTACCAGTACTGTATAACCGAGGTACCAGTACTGTATAACCGAGGTACTAGTACTGTATAACTGAGGTACTAGTACTGTATAACCGAGGCCAAATGACCGGTACAGTAGAAGGCAGGGTCCTCAAAATAGTATTTATATCCCATAGTACTAAGCAGAGTTCCCCGCCACTATCCCATAGTACTTAATACTGAGAACACGTTATACCGAAGTTTCACTGTATATAAAAGGCAAAGCAGCATGGCTGGGGCAACACAGGCAATGGGCCGAACACGACCAGCTTCACTCACCATTCCATAGCCTCCTCCAGACCAGCACCCTGCGTAGCTGACGTCTTGAAGATCTGCCACGTTCTGCTCTTCAACGCTGAGAGGCCCAGCTCACGGGATACCTCAGCGGGGGTTAGCGCACCCTCCAGATCCTATAGCAGCAACGGATTCACGCCACAGTGAGGCCAAAACTTGAAAAGAATTTGCCGAGCGCCCTTTAAAAAGATGAAATCGATGATGAGCTGATTCGAACATTAAAATATGAAAGTGGATCGATACTACCGTTCGTAACGATGTAATTCAGCTCACCCAGTCTTTGCAGGTACATCTTCGGCGATGTTTTAATTGAAGGTGAAGACTACAGCCTTCAGGGAATGGTGCTTCTACGCACGTAACTGCCATGCCTCATGTCTCCGTTGAGATAATGTCGTACAGGACACTAGTCATCAATGCTGATACAACTTTTAAAAAAGGGCCTGGCTCAGAGAGAGAGAGAGAGAGAGAGAGAGAGAGAGAGAGAGAGAGAGAGAGAGAGAGAGAGAGAGAGAGAGAGAGAGAGAGAGAGAGAGAGAGAGAGAGAGAGAGAGAGAGAGAGAGAGAGAGAGAGAGAGAGAGAGAGAGAGAGAGAGAGCAGGAGGAAAGAAGACACGCTGATGCAGCATGATCGCTAACCTGTTTGTTGGCAAAGACCAAAAGTATCGCTTTCTTCAGTTCCTCTTCCTAAACACAGAAAGGAAATAACGAAACATAATGAAGAGTTAATACAGGACGAACACATTACATGTATGTACACGGTCACATGTACTGTAAAATACCGCGAGAGGCCGGAGAGCGCCCCACCTTGATTTTACAGCCAGGGAAAGGATAATCGTATGGCAGAGTGCAACAAAGTTTGTACGGTGTGAGAACGTAGTGTACTAAGGTCAAACTTAACAGGTTTTTGTGTGGAGCTCGAAGGCAAAGTGAGTACGGATTAACTGCACAACGCGCAATGTGTGCACAAGGTTCGTGTCGTATGACCTACAGACAGGACACCACCTCCGCAATACGACCACGAAAGGACGAGATAGTGGGGCGCTTTGGCGGTACTTTACGGTACATCAAATTATGACCCCAAACTGAAGAATGTTTCCCACACGACAGGGAAAACGGAAAGGACGTGTGAAACTGTATGGGATAGAGTGAATGCATATACACATGTATAACAGACGCTCACCTCTAGCATAGATATTAACTCGTTCTTGGAGATACCCATGCGATCCCGATCTGCGCTGTCCACTACGTAGATAACTGCGTCGGTGTTAGCATAGTAGCATCGCCAGTAGGGCCTGCGGTAAACACACAACACATGCACACTGGTAACTATATGACTGTACTGAAGGCCTTTTGCAGAATATACATTCATGATCATAGCGTATCGCAGGGAAACTGGCTGTGCAGGCGTAAACGTTATCCAACAGTATAAAATGTACAATGACTGGCATCGAACTAGAAGAAGAAAGATATCCTCATAGTAAGCACAGCAACTTCCCGCTATACAGACAGGAACCCATTTGAAACCTGTGCAAACCAATACAAAAAGCTCTGACTTGTGAAGTGCTCTCTCGCAAACAAAACAAATCAGGAAGCAAAAGAAGAGAGTGCTGGAAACAACATGGAGATGCACTGGGCTTGTGGCACTCACCGAATACTTGTTTGACCTGAACACAGACACACACAGACACAATAAGAAGCACACAGGAACAGGGGGCAATGACGATGTCTGCACCAACATGTCTTCATTACATCGGAGACAAACAAAGCATTCTTTTCTAGCCCCCCCCCCCCCCCCCTCTCTCTCTCTCTCTTTCTCTCTCTCTCTCTCAAAAGACACAAGGAAAGTGGAAAAAGAGAGAAAGCACCACAGACCGTGTACCGCATGTTACCTCACAGTGAAAATAGTCAGCAATGGATACCCACACAACGGCCAAGCAGAGAAGATCGCCAAGTTGAGAAAAAAGCACATACCTCCGAGATCCCAAACTGAAAGATGAGGTGGCCCGTGATGCAGACAGGACATCAGGAGCATATGAGCACAGATACAGATACACATTCACAGAAAGAAATACACTCATGGCTTGCACTGCAAAAGTCATTCTCAACATTTTTGATATGAAACCAAAATGTGTTAAGAACTTAACCCTTTAAGAGCCACAGGAAACTTTCAAAATTCTGCATTTTTTCCTGTTCCTCGGATCATAGCTTCAGTTCTACTCACTCAATCCTCACAATCTAGGGCTTCCTGGAACGGTCTCCGCGAGAGGAAGAGAATGAGGTCGATCATGATAGCCAGCAAACCGTCTATTCAGCGCTAGATCGCAGCGACAGTACGAAAAATGCCCCAAATGCGTCCAATTGCGTCCCGCTCCAGATATTTCATTTTACTCGATCGTGGAGTTCCCATTTTTTTGCTGTGTACTCTTGACAATATCAACAGTGAAACCCGTGCAAATTCGAGTAAAGCAGCGTGACGAAAAGTCTCAAAATTCTCAATACTAAAGTTGCACTGCGCGCTTTTGAAATTGCCGCGATCGCGGCTCAACTTACGAGTGATTTATCTCAGTAACCGTTGCTCGCAGCGCTTCGCGGATTGTTTCTCCCGACAGGTGAGAGTTTTCTCTTCGCCCTGGATATTTCGATCGATGGATTTGAGCGAGATTGGACTGAGTTACGATCTTTTGAAGTTTTGCATTTGAATGCGTCGTTTACGACGCACTCAAGTATGGGGCGGCTCTTAAAGGGTTAAGAGCCAGCATTATGTCCCCGATACTGTTACTACATTGATACGGACATCCGAACAACGTTTCATTTTTAAATGAATGTGAAAACAGCCCTTGCGAAGCAATTCAGCTGGAAGTGTGAAACTTCAGAGTATAGAGGTTATGCGACAAAGACATGAGAGAACAAATGTGTGCTAGATAGGTAGTTGTTAAGTCTAATTCGGGGTCCAGGTTGTTGGTACCGCGGCCGCTCTTACCTTGGAATTTTAGATTATTGTACGTGACACTCTCCACATTGAATCCAATAGCTGCGCAGCCACAGCAGAAAAAAGCGCAGAACATTGCCGGTTACAAACACCAGTATGTGTGCTTGTCTGACTAGTAGTAGTAGTACATGGTCATCCAACTTCCAGATTGCCATACCCAGAGTGCCGCATTACAGCAGTTGTTCGAATATGACAGGTGGGTCCAGCTTGAAACTGAACTTTTCTCAAAACTTACTTAAAACAAGACTTCAGTAGTGCTGTCATGATCAACCTGACCTCTATTTGGTGGATGCAATGTATACAGCAGGAAGTCCACAAAGAAGCTCAAGGTTTCATCAAATGGCACAGTGTTGTTGAGATTAATTACTCATACAGGTTGTTTACAGGTTCTAGAATGAGTATACATGTAACTGCAAGACTATACTCTAGTTACATTGCTCTATGCACACTTCCATATCCTGTCCTTACTTGGTATTGTTGTTACCACCTCCCCTATTTGTAATCTGTCAACACAGTAGCAAAAATACATTCAAAAAACCAAACAATCAGATCTGTCTGTGTACACTGTCAATTTCGATCGTTGCACACTTTGAATCACTACCTGTATAGGATAGTCGTCTTTCCTGCTCCATCCAAGCCCAGAATTAGAACACGGAGCTCTTTTGCCCCCCACAGACTCTGGAAGAGGCCGGAAAAGAACCCTCCTGTGTGCAACACACCAAGCACAAAGAAGGAATTTCGTATCTTGTTGGCATCTACATCAATACCACTAGCTCGCCCAGTATCTCACTGACCCATGTCGCACTTGTCACTTCAGCAATACCCACACCAGAATTGATCGACAACTATGCTTTGTTTCAGGAAAGGACGCCCAAGGTACCAAGTTCTGGATTTCCTACGTTGTTCCTGCCTTGTCATACAATTGACTACTCAAAATAATGTTGAAGAGAAGAGATCTTCTCAAGCACGGTGATTATTTTCTACGTGGATAATTATTTTGGGAATCAGTGCCAGCGTCCACGTGATACGACCGTTCACCGGATCCCATCGCGTCGTACATGCTCAGGTCGATACGTCCACAAGAAGACGTCAAGACTAGACTGTAGACTAGTGTAGACTAGTGTAGTGTAGTGTAGACCTGGTAGACCTGGTACCTGGTAGGGCGATACAAGAGCCCTGTTGATGGCTTGAAGAGAAGCTAGAAGCGCTCCGGCTAGCGGGGCCCGGGGCACTCGAGTCAAGACCGCGCAAGTCTCGGATTCTGCGCGCGTAGGTGCTCTTTGGCCTTTCAATGAAGAAAGTTTTGTGAGCACGAATGCCGTGCGAAGGGATCGAGAATCGGAGATGCAGCAAGTCCACACAGACTACAACTAAGTAATTAGTTACTTCAAGCTGATATATGAGTCTTCATTAGGAAGTGAACCATGCTGGCCATGTCGAGGGCAACCCAATTTCTTGTCAGCGCGCTGTTTTGCGTATTGCCATGGTGGTTACCGGGCTCTAGCGGTCTGTGGCTTCCACTGACGAAGGTGAAAGACTCCATTGTGGAATCAACAGGCGCACGATGCCTGGATGGAAGCAACCCAGCTTATTACCTGAGCATGCCAAGTGACCCGAAAGCTGTGTCAAACTGGAGAATACATTTTCGTGGCGGTGGATGGTGCTTCACTGCGGAAGAATGCCATGGGCGCAGCAAAACATCCATGGGCTCTAGTCTGCTTCTGCCCCAGACAATTGAGGATGCTCATGACGGATTCATGACAACCAACACCACGGTCAACCCCAAGTTTGGCAACTGGGGAGTGGTGTACATTGAATACTGTGATGGCTCATCGTATCTCAGCGATGTAGAACAACCAATGAAGCTCTTCGGCGATACAATCTACTTCCGTGGCCGTCGCATTCTCGCCGCAGTATTTCAGGATTTGGAGGAACGGGTGAAACTACTGTCGCTCGGCAAGAAGGTGGTGCTCTCCGGCACGTCAGCGGGTGGTCTGGCCACCTACCTGCACTGCAATACGGTGCAGAAGATGCTGAATGCTGATTGCGATTTCCGCTGCTTACCGGATGCTGGGCTGTTTTTGGATCATGCTGATATGCATGGTCAGGCGACATACGAGACTGAGGTGAAGGCAGGACTGGACCTGTGGAATGGCACACACAACCTAGACAAGACTTGCATGGACGCGTTCAAGTCAGCGGGCACCCCGTGGAAGTGTGCGTTCTCCCAGTACATCATTCCCTTCATCACGCCTCCGCTGTTCATCCTTAACTCCATGTATGACAAGGCGAGCATGGGCCTGGTGCTGCATCTCAACTGCAATCCTAGCCACGCTGGAAGCTGTAGCACGGAGCAACTAAAAGCTTTTCAAGCATATCATCTAGCCATGGCGTCAGCTTTACAGCCAGCACTGACTGCCGGCAATAGCACTGGAGTGTTTGCTACTGCATGTTATCAGCACGAGGAGTCGTGTCAGAATCCCGACTGGCTGGGAATCACGATAAAGTCTGTATCGATGCGTCGCGCCGTGGAGCAGTGGTATGACGGAGGTAATGTCAAACTTGTTGACACAACCTGGCCGAACGATCACTCATGTGTTCTCAACATCACGCATGGACCGTGTTAGCACCCTGGACGGCACAGGTATCACCAGTGTGCTGGTCAGTGTGGCAGACTGGTACGGTACTGGGATATTCTGTGAACTATAGTATGTACAGTACATGATTTCAGGTGCCCATACCAGTACCATACCAGTAGCATACCCGGCATGAGTGCAAGTACGTCGTGTATGCCGGTAAAGTTAGCCGGAGAACTTGACGTCGAATCTGAGAACCACATCAGTAGTATTGATGTACATGTACATGTAGCTTGTTATACTCTGTGCAGAAAACAATAGGCTCGGCTTCCATTGAGGTTCGTCATTCATTATTTATTATCCAAACTTTGCCGCTTGAATCAAGTCCGGTGTAGCCAGCACACATCAGGAGCATCGGACACGGTACGGTCACTACGGTATTGACCGTGCCACTTTTGCCCCAGGTGCCCCGTGAATCACTAAAATACATTGATCTGGGCTCTAAGTTTCCAAACCGTCTTTCGGCTCAGCACCACCTCCCCATGAGCAAATTCACCGTACTTCCGATGGCTGACCGCACCACACTAAAAGTAAAATACCTTCCAACGCCCCTGCACCGGCATTATACTGATCATTTGAAGCTATAGTAGATCTACTAGCGACTGCTACCGTGCTGCCTTCCTGTTTGTTCTACATGGGCCGCCGATTACAGACTAAGTCACAGAGCTGCGGGCAGCCAAATCGTGAGATCCTGAACATTGATCAAGTAACAGTTGGGTCCGGCATTTTAAATTGTTGGGGCTTGACTAAGTCAAGGGGTGATGGGAACCGTTCCCTTCCGGCGGCCCTCTCTACACTATGATTCACTCAATCACTGACTATTATTATTATTATTATAGACAACACCTCATGGCATGAAAAGAAAATCAGCCAGTACGCCGGGGAGATGTGGGTGTTAACCAACCATGGTGAATAAAAGTATGCCATGGTTAGTGGTGTGACACACTGATGTGCCAGTGAACTGCACTGCCGAGGGTGGGAACCCTGAGCCGGGGATTCGCTTCTCTTCAGAATGATCTCTCAGTGACTACGAGACTAACGAGTACTGCACACGTCCAGGGTTGGTAGCGCGATCAGGACTCGGGATCTAGGAGTCGGAACCATGCACGTGCGCACCTGAGCCGAGAAAAGTAACATGACTCTCTGAAACATCTACTCGTACAAGAACTTGAAATACAGGACCCCTGGCCTGGACAGGCCTCACACTGTGACAGGGCCTTTGCCCTGGCCGCTCGGCCGGGGGGCCCGGGGGGGGGGGGGGAGCTAGGGGCCCAGGGGCTACTGACATCACAAAAAAATATTTCCACAATCTTATTTTAAATTAATACGTCGTCACTTCCCAGTACAGTACCGGTATTTCAAAAGGATCTAGCTAGGAATCATGATTCATCATGCATGTCATGAGATGATACAGTGCAGAAATCTTTTTGAAATAGACTGTACACGTGCGCATCTGTAGTACTGTACTGTAAAAATTCTAATTCAAATCGTATTTTCACTGAGGTCAGGATCTAGGCTATTTTAGATCTATGAATGTTGACAACTTCTATTCGTCGTTCAGTAGCTATTTGATGGAGAAGAAATGGTTTTGAAATGTTACTCTGAACGGAGAGGTGACGTCTGAAGATGAAGACGTTCAAGCTTTGGGTTCATAAATCCGACTTCAGTGGTACGTGGTCATGTTATATCTTTGAGAAGCTTCCAAGTGAAATGTAGAATACTAGTAGACGGTTACAACACCTCGTCTCCGTCTAAGTTCCTGTCTTAAAACCTTTATCGTCCCATTGTTTGCATGGTTTTTATTTTTATTTTCTGAGCCTAGATAATCCATTGAAAGACAGGGATGGATCCAGGATGTGTACAATCCTTAAATAAAAATCAATCAATCAATGTTTCCAAGTGAGGGGGGGGGGGGGGCGTTCAGTTTCCTCCCATGTCCGCCCTGACCAACATTACTTGATTGTCTTCTAATGACATGTTTTGCACAATCAACATAAATTCCACAATCAAAACAAATTAAGAGAACCCACATTTCCTATTACATGCAGTAACTTGCCAGCTGTTACAGTGCACCTCTTTTCTACACTCTTCAGCTAAATACCGTAGAATCCCGCGGATAAGCCCACCCGCGTATAAGCCCATGCCCGCGCATAAGCCCAGGGTTTGTTCGAACATCACACAGCTTCATCGTACAAGCCCATGGGCCTAGGTCACACCGAGAGTCCATAAATTATGGACTCTTGGCCATACCATGTACGTAGTACATGCACATTAATAATATTTTTAGTACATTTCAGCACAATCATAGGTTGTTTTTGTTTGCACAGTGGTTTTTAGCATGTATTTCTCACTTCCTTGATACTTTTCAATAGCACAACTTGGTGTCGGCGTATAAGCCCATGCCCGCGTATAAGCCCATGTTCTCGTATAAGCCCACCGAAATGTCCTTGTGAAACAGATAAGCCCATGGGCTTATCCGCGGGATTCTACGGTATCATATAAAGCACAACGCACAGGGAGTAAAAATGAGGACCGGACAACAGTAGACTCCATATCTTTTCCCCTCTACTGATCTATATAGTTTGGCCTCCACCAGCCCCATCTCTATCCTGTCGCAGAGACAGTCATGCGTTCTGGTCCATTGTATTAAACTGAACATTGTCCCTGAACATCTCATCAAGTATAATTGGTTTACTTTCGCACGGGACACTCGCAATGGCATAGTACTTCCCAGAGCTTTGTCAACTATGTTTACCAAATCTCCTATCTTCTCTGCATACTCGTATTGGCTCAAGCTGCCCATGGAAATGAAGACAATATCCAATATTAGACAGTTCATAGACCATGTTAAATGTCATGCCACGTTGTAGGCTCGCTCGCCTCTTTTGCTAGCTTACCTCGCCGCTCTCCACCATGGTCAACATAGTGATACATTTCACCCCGCTGATGCATTATTTTCTTCCGATTATCATCTCCTTTCCTTCATTTTTTTCTTCTCTTGCCATGGCTGGCTAACGCCCCCTCCTTTGCATTGGCTTCTGCCATTGGACGGTGAAATAAATAAATAAAAATAAATAAATACGGCAGGTTTTCTGCAATTTTCATCAACCTTGTCTTCGTCATTGTCCCCAGTGCTGAGAGATTTAGCAGACGTTGAATGTGATTCCGAATTGTTCGTATCACTTCCAACACTAGTGGCTATGCTTTCATTTGACCTCACATGCTGAGGAGCGGCACCAACATGCAAGGGCAGCTGGTCTGCAGCCCGCTGCTTTGACGAACGTTTCGACTTATTTGGAGACAGTTGAAGAAAAAAAGTTTGAATGTCCATGTACAGTACCATGTACCTTACTGCTCATTGAAATCCTATCGAGTCACTCGAGTACCGGCACGCGCCGGACGTTGCACAGGCCTAGATTTGCAAACACTGGGTTGTGAAATGGTGCAGGGCGCAACCTTGAGTCATGTGATCGGATTTCATTGAGCAGTACTGTACTGTGGATATGTGCACAGTCTACTGGGCTTCGGGAGTGCTGTATGTACTGCCATGCACATGCAGCATTTGTAGCAACTAACGTGTAGGCCTTCTGGTATAATATATGTTGTGTCCATGCACAGAGGAAGAGATTGTAATCTGTCAAGAAGATCTGCCGCAGTGTTCTGTTGGTGATGTGCTGGAAATACACCACCCCGGTGATGAGTTCAGGTGGGTTTTGTTGACCCGGATTCCAGATTGTGTACGTAAGAACTGGACAGGCGACGAGATGTTCCCAAGCAATGTGTACTGTGCAGCCAAGCTGGGATACATACATGACATATTGTGCAGCAAAGTGTGTCAGCGTTCCATGTGCAACACGGGGTAGTAGAAGCCAGGATGAGTTTCACGAACCTGATCACCAACCAGTCATGCTATGTGCTACTCTTCCTGGACACCATCTAGATAAGATACCTTGGATCTAAACCCACTGATGGTATAGTCCAACCTAGCTGACAATTTATCAGTTCGGTTGGTACTGGCTACTTTGAAATAATTGAAGGCTTCCTGGAATCTGTTCTGTTGTATGCAAAATAGTTCACATAGGTTACTCCGCTTTCCCTGATCATCACACTGTGTGTGTGTGTGTGTGTGTGTGTGTGTGTGTGTGTGTGTGTGTGTGCGCGTGTGTGTGTGTGCGTGTGTGTGTGTGCGTGCATGCGTGTGTTTCCCGGATCAGCCGACTTTTGTTGAAAATCAAATCCATCGGCCATCCACTCAAAAGTAAGTATCTGCAGTAAAGCCATGATGCACTCTTTGACATGCCTTAGTAGGAGTCCTCTCTAAAATTCCGAAGTTCTCATCGAGCGAGCTGTGTTCACACAGGCTTCACCCCATCCCCTAGTAAGTAGCCATTGAACACCATGCGACTACAGCAAAAATCGGAATTTCCAGACTCACATTCCAACACAGGACTCGATCTCCTTCCCAACACGGATCCTTTGGGTGAAAATTCCAGAATTTTGAGGTGACCCCTTTAAATGCTGATATTTAATTTCGGGAGATCTAGAATATTTGTTACGCCTTTGTGCTCTGGACGATGCACATGGTAAGCCATTCTTCAGTGAGAGTATGTTTCGTTTTCTCACCATGGCAATTCTGTTTCCGTGCTGCTCTTGCTAATCTTGCTTCCTGCGCGAAGGACAACTGCTTAGCATGGCAAACTAGTTTGCTGGAGAAAAAAAAAGCTAACTCTCGACATTGCGAGGTTTCAGCAGCTTGAAGTGCTCGAATATCACATTTCCTTTCTGGTTGCTCTTAGATGGAGTTATCAGCGTCCAGGAGAACGTTGCCAAACAGTTTCAGCTTCGAGCTCACCGTGATGTCCAAGTCCGAAAAATGGCGCCGCAGGTACTTATGTGCATGCATCAGGTGGTGATCACCTGTGCTGGCTTTCCTGCTTGATTTCCACTTGTATGCGGAAATACCTTGTAGGTTGTTCATATTCTATTTTGTCTGTGAAGTTGATGAGAGGCCTGTTAGATCCTATGCACCCTCCCTTTGCATGTCTTATCCCCCACTTGCATGCCCCTTTTCTCCACCTTGCATGTTCCTCTACGGGCTTAGTGTTGGCATTGTTTGCTCTCATGGGTCTGGCTTCAGGATTTGCAGCAGCACGGTCGATTATGTCAGCCCCCCCCCCCCGGTCATGTTATACCATTTCGACCTGTGTAGGAAGCCTGTAGTCTGTGCTCACACTGGTACCCTCGAGTGGTTACTGTATGCACATCAGACTGTATTGGCTTGCTGTGGCTTAGGGATGTGTATTGCTGTTCGTGTGTGTGTGTACCATATGTGCCGGTCTTCTTCAGGACGTGGAGGTCAACTTGGTGGAGCTTGTTCTCAAGGTACGACTCGAGACTTGTACAGATAGCTTTGTGTATCTGCCTAAGTTCTGTATAAGTTACGCTGTTGATGGTTGGTGTGTATCTCTTTGTATGAAGAGAACCCCTTAACCCTGTTTTGGATACTCTTTATTTTCTTTTGTTTGGCTTCAACATTTGGTTTGTTTTGCTTGCATACACTTTTGTAGCCAGAGTCAGTAGCCACTGGCCAATGCAGATTTTTGGCGGTCGTACTGCAGTAGGTTTGCTGCCTGTTGTGCACTCACATTGTCGGTGTATGATGTGTGTATGGTGTGTGGTGCTGTGCTATGTAGGACCAGTATGTTGGACGCAGTGACATGTACCGGATGAAACAATCACTGGTGAGTTGCTGCTGCTTGTGTTGCCTGTTGTGATCGGAGCTAAACGTAAGTAGAACTAAGCATTGCAGCTCTAGTGATACGTGTATGTCCTCTTGTCGAAGAAGGTAAGGACTGCGGAAGCCTGGAAGGAGTAGCAGAAACCTGGAAGGGGTAGCGGAAGCCTGCAATGGGTAGAGGAAGCCTGGACGGGGTAGGGAGGGACGCCTGGAAGGGGTAGAGCAAATCTGGAAGGGGTAGCACTACTCGCATGCAATGTAGTTCATGCTACAGCATGTCTGTGCCTTTATGCTGAATTCTGTTTTGTGTAGATTGGGTCATGCGCTTACGTCGGCAAGAAACTGAACTACAGCGGAATGCGGTGAGTAGCATTGCTAGTACTTGTTCTACTCAGCTTAGTATACTGGTGCTTGTACGGTGTCCAAGCTGCTGTACATGTACTTTACTCATGCTTAACATTGTGTATACTTCAAATATTCAATGTTGCTGTTGTGGCTGCTTCTGGCATTCATGTTCATGCTACCTTTGGCTCTGGTTCTGGCTTGTCTCGGGCTTGCCTCTTGTGTTCATGTGCATGCTTGCAGCTGGGTGTTACCATAGTGTATGGTTGTTGTATGGGTCTCTATCATCACCTGTCTCATTGCCTGCAAATAGTCTCAGTAAGTAATCGACAGCTACATGATTGTATACCGTCTGCTCTGGTATTGTCTCTGTGTGTATGTGTGCAGGATCAGTGTACGAGAGATGTGGCGCAAGAACAGCAAAGTCATGTGCGGCTGTATCTCCGAGCAAACGCGGGTAAAGAAAGCTGTTGGCTTTGTGTGACAATTAGGCGTTGTGTTGTGTGTGAAGTCAGTATGACTGGCTCTCGTACAGGCCGTGAGATTTAATTCTTTTATCTATTGCCTGTTGGCTGATCGATTGTGCACGCATGGAGAGTCGTCGATGTGGCTCCGTCAACGCTTCGCAGAGTGCACGAGACAGGTACGGTGTGAATCGTCTCTTGCTGTCCGTTTAGCTTGCTGATTGTTAGCGACATGCTGGATCTGACCAGGCAGAGCTCTGCCGCAACATTGCTAGCTACATAGGAGCACGTGCTGGCGTCGTCCAGCAGAGCATTAACTGTTAGTGACCGCTTGCCGTTCGATAGCTGTACGGGGACTGTCCGAATTGATGTCACCGTCCATACGGTCTGCTCCTCTCCCTTCGTGCTGCTTCCGAGGGAGACAGCACTGAAGTTCTCCGGCTGCGTCGTTGACTCTGAAGGCGGTTGACGGGGCTCACTGTGCAGCAGGCGATGGTGATGCTGCATACACCCGTCAATACCGCATTCCCGGTCCCGTGGGCAATCCTTGCCGCTGTGCCCAGTCGCAAGGCATCTATAACACGACTTGTTTCTCTTCGCTGCTGCCCAGCGCTGGCTTACAGCTTGTTTCTGAAACTCTGGGCAGCGCCAGATCGGGTGTTCGCCGCCATTGCAACACTGGCACGTGGACGTTGCGGTCGGCATGTTGCCGGCGGTGTTCGTCGCTGTTACGAACGTTGTCGTGCGCAGTTGCACCGCGTCATGAGCCGTTGCAGTCTGAGTTGGCAGATTCTGACTTGTCCCGCTGGCTGAAGGTTGGTTCCTTGTGTGATGCTGCTGGCTGATGCCTTCAATCGTTTCGTGGCGGCAGCAAGAACTTCTGCTTCAGCATTCAGCGACTCCAGCAGCACCTCGACCGATTCGCCTTTCTGGTGGTGGACTATCCAACGGCGATACTGTGCCAACAAGTTCACCGGAAGCTTCTGCTGGATCTGATGGTAGAGAATGCCAGTGCCAAGCTCTGTGTGCACACCGGCATCCTTCAATGTCACCACTAGCTTGCTGCTATGTCGAGCAAATCGGTAAATCGCTCCAGGTCATGGGCTCTACCGGATCGAATCAGTGGAGATCGTTCCAGCTCCTGCATCCTAACTAGAACTGTACTCACATTGTACAACAGAAGCAGCAGAGGAAAACGAAAATGAACACGTGTCTTTCAGTGGACGTGCTTCTGTCTAAGGGTGCTCGCACCTGACGGGGTGGCAGCGCCCCTAGTCAGACAATACAAGGCAAACAAAATAGAAATTAGCTGAATCACAGCGCGGGATTCCGAAACGAAACCTAAATTGTTTGTACCTGCTGCACAACGTAACAATTTCTCAATTCATAACATAATTTCAGACTGGCACTCGTAGAATTGTAGTTCGAATGTGCCACTTGATTATAGTAACAGCTACAAAGAGAGACTCTTCTAAACAAGGGGCATAGACAGGATAGTGATCAAGGGTGCCATGACTTTCCCCACACAAAGTGTGTGCACTTATGTTGGTCCTTTCATGAATAAAATAATCCGTGATATGGGGAGTGTGGGGGGGGGGGGGGGGGGGATTAGCCCCGCGTTTGACGCTGAAGATCCGTCAGTGAATGGCAAACCTCCGACCAGGGAGTAGTAATATGGTATTTTACTGCTCCCTGCTTCCAACTCATGATGGACTAAGTCCTGGATGCTGCTTTCTCCAGAATTATCACACTCTCCATTTCTCAACCCTTTTTTCTCTTTGTCGTGTTTGATAGTACAGTAAGGCATCCTTGATCAAACCGACGCTATTTCCCACAAAAAACGCAAACTGCACTTCAACGTTACTTTCACTCTTCTGCTGCTGTGTCCACACCTGCAATACACGAAAGAAACTCTTTTGCCTCTCCACAACCTCCAACGCAATCAACAGTCAGAACTGCATCATACAAAACATAGCGCGAACAAACTGCTACGTCTGACGTGTGTTTTCCATAGACCGTGGTGCTACTTCTACCCATGGCTTGTTTGTATGATTCTTTGCTTCTAACAAAACATATGGAGTGCAATACAAATCATGTGCTGAGCCTGCTGAGGCCTGACATGATACTGCACAACGGCAGGTACAAAGCGGAGTTGCCCTTGACTAGAAGTTTCATTGCAAAATGGTCAATCATGAGACAAAATAGTCAACTGCATGTGGGTTGGTTTCAGATAGTACATTGTAGATCTGAACCAGGGAGTAGTACAATACCTACTACTCCCTAGTCTGAACAGGGATTACTACAGAGTGCGATGTGCAGAGTTGCACATCATTTTTGAGAGGGGGGGGGGGGGGCGGCTTTGGCACCCAAAGCGCCCCCCCCTCCCTGCCTACGCCTCTGCCATCACTATGCTCCCGTATGCAATTTTGTTGTATTTGCCTGTGAGCTGTGATCATTGTAAAAATATATAAAATGATCGCGTCAGCGTTATCACCTCAATGCACAATCGACCGCACTGGAGGTGATGTACATCTGCTGCCGAAAGCCAGTGCTATGCGTGCAGAAGCAGCATGTCAAGGCGCTGAAACTCGTTACCTGAAGTGACAAGTGATGTCACTACCGAACTAGAGCTATGTCTGTTGTATTAAATTTGGCACCATTTCTCATTCTCTTGCATACTTCCTAATATGTAAAATAGGTGATAGGTTTCCGTAGCTACTAGTAGACGTTAGCGCTCAATCTCATTACGCGCCTTTCTATTGCATCATTATATTGGATGGCTTTGACTAGGTACACTTCATACCTTTGTACCCAATGATAGGAATGGATCAAAAAGCTTTTGGGAGATGGTTTTGGCAGTTGACTAAGTGATGAAATTGGCAAACTTATTGCTATGTGTGGTTAAATTTCGTCTCCTAAATCCCCTTTTCACTCTTTGCTGGGCACACAAAGGCAAACAATGAAAACCTTGGCAAATTCCGTTGTGACTCAGAGTTTCATGGCTGAACCAATCATCAGAGAACCATGAAACTCTGAGTCAGAATGAAATTTGCCAAGGTTTTCATTGTGTGCCTTTGTGTACGCCGCTCTGCCTCAATCAGGTATTGAGCACTTTCGCAGAACCTAAGCATACTGCCTCTGTTTTCGCTGGGTAGAAATGTTTCTGATGCTGCAGTAGCATTCTTGTTGTGTGTTGTGTGTGTTTGTTGTTTCAAGCATGATGAAGTGTGCAAATGGTGACTCGTGTTGCTGTTGATGTGTGCATGTTTCCTTCTCCCGTGCTAGATTGTTTACCGGTCGGCTTCAGCGTCCATGCTGTTTCTTGTCCAGCTCAGTTCTGAGATGTGGCAGTTCAACAAGAATGGTAGGTGAACCGAGACATCATAATTGTCTATGATCATCGCGTAAACTTGCACGATCTGAATTCCATGTGATCCCCATAGCTCCGCGGCGCCAACAGATCATTTCTGTGTAGCGTTGATGCACCGTGACCGGAGTTCAAAGTGCTCGTTCATATCCATGTCTATTCCTTCAGTTTAGCGTAGCTGTATCGGCCATTCACATACGCCATCCCGACCATGTCGCAGCAGCTTTCGAAACAGTATTTGATCGAGATTGTGCACGATTAATGGCACAGTAGTCTTGTAAATTACAACACAAATAGACTGGACAGACCTGCACTCATTATAGCTTATGTGGTAATAGTTTTGTCTGCCCAGTGCTTTGAAGTAGAGTGTATTTTCTACACGCTGGCAGTGGTCTAGCAACTCGTCTGCCTTGTTTGTTTTCTTGTACGAAGGCGAGCTGTTCCTGGAAACTGCCATTGACGGCTTCTTTGCTGACCTGATATCACACTGGAAGGTGAGTGTGCTGTGCACACTGTGCTTGTCAAGACATTACAGTCTGAAATATGTCAGTGCTTAGCGCAAAATTCTCTTTCAATTAACACCCACTAGATCCCTGTACGCTTTCTTGTGTAATCGTTGGTGTCGTATCAGCTCATATCTACATGTACATGTACTTGTATAACTTACTACTCATTCAGATGTTGAGTGGCTCAAAATGAGTTCAGCTTCCTGATTTTTGATTTGTTCTTGCTAACAGCGGCAGCAGTGCAACCACCAGATGACCATTGTGCTGTTCTCACGATCTCTCTATACGGCACAAGAATACGGTAGGATGCACATGATAGGATTTCATGTAGATGCTCAGTAAGGTCTGATTTGGCGATGTTCCAGCATCCGCCATGATAACAGTCATGTTTGTACATGGAAGCTCTGCACGAGGGTCCTTGTCACCCTTATGTAGAGGTGTAGCGTATGCATTTCCCTACTTGGTAGTATGGTTAACTCCATCACTTCATGCTCAACAGATGTTGACATTGATACCTTGGACAAATTTAGTGAATACTGGTCGATGTGATATCACATAAAAAGAAGGAAACAAAGTGTTTCTGCTTTAACTCTTGAGTTTCACGGTTTTACCGATCGTCAGACAGATGTGGTGTCATGTGTGATGTTGCTGTGCATAGTGTACATTGTGCATTGTACATTGTACTTGAATGTACTAATAGACCCATGTGAATATTTCTGAGTTTTGTTATCCCATGAAGTATCAGACAGAGGGGCACATGCGTGTCCGCTCTTGTGTTGTATAACAGATGGATGGTTTGCTTTGGAAGAGGTCAGTGTTGCTTACAGACCTTCGTTTTCGTGTGCATTCGTTTCTTTAGATCTTCTTTCACCTAAGCAGCAGCAACTTCTCTGCCAAACGTGTGATGGAAACTACTATCAAGACTTTTACAGGTAGGTTTGTCCTGGTTCTGCTTCCTTTTCATGCTGTATAACATGGAGAGTGCTCTGATAGCTTCTTTGCCAGCCACTCTGTTGCTACCGGGGTGGGTTGGATGGCTGCTGCTGCTACTGCTGTACTTATTGCATCTCAAGCAATCAACTTACTAGGCTTCTGTCAACGTGTGTGGCAAACGGTTAATGATGCTAGTAGAATATTTATTATTTAAGCCTTGCTCTGTGTGGCCTCATTGGCCTGCTAGTCCGTTTGGCCAATTCAGCTTAATGTGGCCTTAGGCTTAGTGCAACAGTTAGAGCAGTCGTAGTTAATTACTTCTGAAGTACCATCATTTTTCCTTTGATATTGAAGACACATTTTGGACATACCGTAAAGCACCGGCAGAGCGCCTGTCTCGTGAGAATACTCCACCTTGATTTACAGCCAGGCACAGGGAAACCATGTGACCAAGTTTAGCTGAGGCCATAGTATCCGCCATACATACCGTGTGTGAACCTGAGTGTACAGGGAGTACACATTCTCACACGCCAGCTCACTGTTCTTGCGTGGAGCTCGTTTCTGTTTGAAAGTGAAGTGATGGATTGGTTGTACACATTGCCCAGTGCCGTGTGCGTGTGTGCATTGTGTAATGTAAAGATAGGACTCGCTTATCCGCTCCGAATCCTTAAAACAACCATGGAAAAGTCTAGGTGGCTGGGCACTCTTATGGTACATCACTGTACTGCTACTTGGAGTACAGTATTAGTATTGCCCTTCTGCAGAACTTTGGATTTCCACTCTACTCTTCCATCTCTGAATCCTTGGCTTATAGCAGGCACATCTGTAATGGCCTCCAGTCAATCCTCGGTAGTATAGTGGTAAGTATCTCCGCCTGTCACGCGGAAGACCCGGGTTCGATTCCCGGCCGGGGAGGACATTTCTTTTTTGTTGAAGGGAGAAATTGTTCTTCCTGAACTTCCTGAAAACAGACTTGTTTCGTCAGTAGAGCTTGGTCGTGCTAATTTTTGGATCTTCAGTGGTTTGTGTGGATGCATGATAGTGTCATCGAATCGTATCCGTCTGATCATGTGATGCAACAAATCACAACAGATTCTTGCACTGCTGAAGCAGTCTCTTCACAGTAAGGGGACTACACATCAGCTAGGAGTGACTGGACTGGGCCCTGAGAGTCGAGGGACCTCTGATGGTAAAAGAAAAAGGATTTTTCTCATGTAAACGGCCCCTCAGAGTGAACACAAAAGATTGTGAAAAGATTGCTCCCCAGTAGCATAGCACTGTACCTCGAAATTACTACTATTGTATGTATTTAAAAAGAAAGGGGGGGGGGGTGGCAACTGACAACCGCTCTATTCAGTTGCTATTTATTCACAATCGCCGCATGTGCTGGATGAAAAATTCTTTATCGTGATGTCGAAAAATTTGGACGTTTCGGACCAGTCACCCATCATCAGAACAAGTTACAAGGGGCGAACCTGGCCTTCTATAGCGAAAGCAAGCGACAACGTATGTATGTCCATGTACAAAAACAAACGAAACACACAATAGCCGTATGAAATACCGTAAAATTCCGTAAATAAGCCCACCCTAAATAACGCCCATGTCCGATAATAAGCCCAGTTTTAGGCGGTGTACACTTCAAGTCCGTTTTAGCGCCCATGCCCGAAATAAGCCCAGGGCGTAAAGTGGACTCAAAATGACCAGCGCGCGAGCGTGCGTTCGTGTACAAACTGTAGAAAAGTTGCCTTGTACTTACCATAGCAAGTGGTTTACTTATCAAATCTGTAATTTATCACTGCATTCTTGGTTACGACCAAATTTCCAGCTGTGGTTTGATGTACCTGTACCGCGCTCAGTGTGAATGGTGGTTCACTGAAACTAGTGGGTTGCTGATAGATTGATCTTCTGCAGATTGCGTCCGAAATAATGCCCATGCCCTAAAATAAACCCATGCCCAAATATACGCCCGGTTTTTGACGCTCTGCAAAGTATACGCCCGTATGTATGTATTATTTTAGTCGATTTTGACATTTTTAATTTTTAATTTTACTATCAAGTACACAACCTACTCGTCAGAAGGGGAGAAGACAACATAATATACAATTAGAAAACATCAGGGAAAGTAGAGGCTGCAAAGCAAGCCTATGCTGGTGAGGCAAGCCCACAGCACCGACCTATGGTCTCGGCATTAATGATAGCTTGCATAGACCTCGGTCCTACCGGTAGGACCTACCAGTAGGACCATCATACACAGACATGCTGCATGGCCTCTGTTCTAACATTGACCTAAAACGTGACCCTAAACTGTTGCTCAGGGGCTAATGAAGGAGTCCACAAATTTTAGACGTGATCGCACAAGGCATACTACGAAATTCCATGGTAACAGCCCATGGTAACCATGGAAACGGTGTATGGAATTATGCATTCTACTGCCTTGGCAGACTAATAAAAACATTAGTACCTCACCACGATTGATGTGCCATGGTCAAAACTCACTTTGGACAGAGTTGCTAGCGCTCCGACAGGAGTATGTGCGGCCATTTTGACAATTGATAAAATTGCGCGTATGTAATGCACTGGACATAGCCTTGCATTTTGCGCCATTACTTTGCCTGACAAAGACCTTATCTCAACAATTGTTTCAAGAAATTTCTCAACCAAAAGCACTTTTGCAGCGCGATTTCTTGGGCCCTACCGGTAGGACCCGTGGTCCTACCGGTAGGACGGCATGCAAGCTATCATTAACGTGGGCTTGCGCCAAGAGTACATAACCCCCCCCCCCCCCCCCCCCCAGAGTGTGCAACGCCGATCCAGCTCTGTGTAGGGTCTTGGTCGAGCGGAATCGGATCTTCTGATGTCATGCGTACACTTCACACCAGCGCAAGGCCGGTCTCGAGGCAGGGCACCATTGTTTTTGATCCAAGAGTACCCGCGACTCCCCGGGTTCCCCTCAGATGTGTACGGTATTATGACGCAAAGATCCGATTCCGCTCGACCAAGACCCTATGCAGAACTGGATCAGGCGTTGCACACTCTGGGGGGTTATGTACTCTTGCTTGCGCATATCATCACTATAAGGCCCTGTTGAATGAATACAACATGGATAACACTTCATGAATACAACATGGATAACACTTCATGAATACAACATGGATAACACTTCATGAATACAACATGGATAACACTTCATGAATACAACATGGATAACACTTCATGAATACAACATGGATAACACTTCATGAATACAACATGGATAACACTTCATGAATACAACATGGATAACACTTCATGAATACAACATGGATAACACTTCATGAATACAACATGGATAACACTTCATGAATACAACATGGATAACACTTCATGAATACAACATGGATAACACTTCATGAATACAACATGGATAACACTTCATGAATACAACATGGATAACACTTCATGAATACAACATGGATGACACACACATTTCAGGGGTTTTTTCGCCGGTACAGATAATGAATTTACACAGTGTAAGCTTTAAAAGGCCTCTTTTACGGGCAAACAGAATACAATTGACAGTGGCATGGCGAATGATTAGAACACAACACCAAAAAATGAAAACAATTGTATGTGTGAAAAAACGCAAAACGAGAAACAAAAAAACAAAAAAAACAAAAAAACAAAAAAAACAAACAAAAAAAAACAAACAAAAAACAAAAACCAGGAAAATACAAGGGCACTGTCCTGCCCACCATCGTCTCCAAAACCTCACAGCCGGCCCTCCGAGATTGCCAACTCTCGCAATGCATTCACAGGACGGTGATATGACGATCGAATACAACATGGATAACACTTCATGAATACAACATGGATAACACTTCATGAATACAACATGGATAACACTTCATGAATACAACATGGATAACACTTCATGAATACAACATGGATAACACTTCATGAATACAACATGGATAACACTTAATGAATACAACATGGATAACACTTCATGAATACAACATGGATAACACTTCATGAATACAACATGGATAACACTTCATGAATACAACATGGATAACACTTCATGAATACAACATGGATAACACTTCATGAATACAACATGGATAACACTTCATGAATACAACATGGATAACACTTCATGAATACAACATGGATAACACTTCATGAATACAACATGGATAACACTTCATGAATACAACATGGATAACACCTCATGGCTGTGGCTTGCTCTTGTATGCTCCTTCGTCGTTGTCTGTTCATGCCGGGGTGTGTAGGGTTGTGGTGGACAGCGAGAGCCGATCGGACTGGGGTGGGCTGCTGGGATCGCTACGGCAAGCCTTTCTACAGCACTGCAGAACAATGAACCAGCAACGTGAGTGTCATCACTACAGGCATGGTGTGTGTAGAATGTGCCTCTGGCCAAATGGAAGGGCAGAACAGGAAATGTTGGGGATTTTTACTTAAAGGTTGGTAAATCTAGTGAAAAGACGTAGCTTTCATGTTGATGGTATGGCCATCTTGATGCGTTCGATCTGTATCTGTCTCCATAATACTGCATGATTGTCTTGATATCTTTGGCTGACTGCTTGCTGTTGACATAGATGAGGAGCTTGGCTGTGGCATCAACTCCCCTGCTAGCCGTGGCAATCTTCTTGAAGCACTCAATATGGCAGTAAACGGTAAGTGGAGGCTGATGCTGGCACCTCAGCCGGGATTGTTGCAGCATTTGCATGTACAACCGCTATCTAGTGCGGTGACGGCAAAGTTTCACATCACGCGGCATGGTTCAATTGCTTAGGCTGGCAAACAGTGAAATGTTTTGCTTGTTGCCCACAACAATGTTCACCGACTACAGTGCATTTCAAAATAAAAAGCAATCCTGGCAATCACCGGGGGAGTTTGCCGTCTTGCCGTATGAGCTGCCTGGAAAAACTCGCTGTTAACTCGAAGAAATAGTTTGCCTCATTTTTCACTCGCGTGTTCTCTTCGGTCTCCTTTGTTATGCCCTTGTCCTGGTAATGAACTTCTGACTGTGCTCACCACTGTGCTCACCACGCCATGACAGCGTATAGTCGTCACTACGTGGACTGCAACTTTGAGAGGAATGGACAGCAGGTGATCGTGGTGACGTCCGGCGTTGGTGTCTTTGAGGTAATGCTGCCCCGTACCGCCGCTGCTGCCCCGTGCTGCCGCTGCTGCTCTGATAAGTGTTAGCATTGTTAGCACTGCTGCTGATGATCATTGCATGTTGCGTGTAATCACTAGTGCTGCCGGTCTGTTGTGTGACCACCTTACTAGTGCTTCTACAAGAGTTGCTCCTTTTTCATAATTTCCTCGCCGTGCAGTTCTTCTTTGAAGTACCAGTGGGCAGACGCTATTTTTTAACAAATACAAGACATGATCAGGCGCGTGCCCCGTATGGGTTCCTGGGTGCCCGGAACCCCCCTTTTTTCGCTCAAAATGCAGGATTTTGCTTCATTTCTTGAAAATGTTCCCGGGGGAGGCCCCCCCCTGAAGGGCGCCGGCGCACGCGCCTGATGATATGATAACAATGTGAGGATGCCCTTACCCTTTGTTTCCTCCTCTGCTGTTAGCTAGGGTGATATGCCTGTGATGTGTCACACTCCTGCTGCTGTGGCGTGCCCATGCAGGTAGAGCGTGACTTGATGACGCTGACCAAGCTGCGCATTGTCGAGCTGGGCATTGGTGCCGACCTGGTGTGCCTGGCTGAACAGCCTCTGCACCATGTGCCCCTGTTCATCTTCAGCTCCGGCCCTGGTGTCAATCCGTACAAGATTCCCCACTGGATAAACCATAGCTATTACAAACCGAAGAAGGCTGCCAGTGACGTCCAGTCGCGCTTCCAGCCGCGTATACATATGCCCAAGCAGTTCAGTCCGATAGGCTTTCAGAAGTCCTGCTCGCATAACGGCATTGAGATCAACGCCATGACCAGCTCGTCCGGTCCTCCTACCAATCTGCTGGTTACACGCTGTGAGAGGGTGTCGAGTGCCAGTACAAGTGGCACTCCCATGCCAGATATGTCACTCAGCGTGCAACGTTTACACTTTGACATTGCTCAGCTGGACTTTGACGGTTATGATGGCAATGTATTTGCCTATCACACCCGAAACCGGAGCAAAGCCAAGGGGCCGATGGCAACGAAGCAGCGTTCAAGGAGCACGGATGACCTGATGAAGGTATCGCCAGAGGAAGACCAGCGTAGCCGTACGTCTACATCGCATCCGCTCGTCGGGTCTCCGCCGATGGCCGTTCCGGGCACGCGCCGGGGCCGGTCTGCATCACGTGACACGCCAACTTCCTATCGCTCTCCTGTGTCCAGTCGCCATGCGTCCGTAACGCACAGGACAGCGGCTCTGCCGACGTCACTACGCATCTCCTCCACCAGCATGCCAAAGGCACGCTCCTTTCAGCAGAGCGGACTTGGCAGCAACCAGTCTGCGATGCATCTGTCATCGTCCGCGTCCAGCAAATCCATGTCTCGCCCGCACTCCCTGGAGCTACTGATCAATCCGTTTTCCAACCAGCCGAAACCCAAGATGACAGCAAACAACGCCCGATGGAGACAGGCCTTCCCAGTGGACGATTCTGGAAAACCCATGCAGGAGCATCACACTGTGGTCCGCGAGACTATGTGCGGTGTGCCCGAGGAAGGAGAGCCCGATGTTGTCTTCTTTGCAGGCGCCGAAGAACCGGAGTTTGACGAAACGGATCGGCAGCGTCTACAGGAGCGTTTCTCTCATGCCGGCCATGCTGCAGTGGCAGCACGTAACGCGTCCAGTGCTGGTAGTGGTGATGAGCTGGTCACACTGGATTCCAGTATGTCCACCATGCAAGAGGAGTCGCTCATGCGACAGCCATCATCGCAGAACAAGTCCAACAGCCTGCTATCAAGTTACCAGTGAGTACAGTCATGTAGTATTGTTGTGCTGTATCAACACAAATACACAATCATAGTGTTATGGCATGCCCAGTTTGAGCTGAAAGCGTTTCTCAAGCTTGCACCTGGTGCTCTTTTTAAAATTATTTTTAACTATGTTTTGAGATCACAAGGTCCAGGAGCAGCCCGGTACACTTTTTTGAACGTGTCTTGGGATGTTTACCCACCCATTCTTATGCTTTGTGCAGTCCGTCTCAATGACCATCTGCTTCACTGTTTGTTTCATCGTGTTTCCTTGACTGTATCTGTACAGCTCCAGCAAGCGACTTCTGCAACCGGCCGAGAACGCTGTGCCCTCCGAGTACACGGAGAAGCAGGATTTCCTGAAGGAGGTGAGTTCTGAAGTCACAGCTACACACGTACAAGTGCAGTACACTGTCTTTTAGTATGCATGTGTGTTTGTGTGCACTCGTGCGTGTGTCATGTGGTGTGATTCTTCAGTCATTATTCTACTGTAGCGGACATTGAAATCCGTTGAGAAGTCAAGCGGTCACGGGGCGCTGGCCTTGCAGCCGCGAGCACTGCTGGTCCATCTTTACAGTGTGTGCGTGAACTACAGTGCATGTATGCGCTAGAAACAGTAAAGGCACCAGCCCCGGGCATCTAATCGGATTTCAATGACCACGACAGTATTCACCCCCTACTGCTGAATAAGTATGTATGCACCGTCCTACTGCCTTTGTCTGTTTGCTTGCCGGTGTTCTTAGGTTCGTCTCGATTGGAAGTCACTGGCTGAGCCGGCCTGTCTTCCGCTGGGTACTGACTTTGAACCGGAGAACCTGAGCACGGACTTCATGGAGTCCCAGTACACGCTCTACTACGACGACGAGAAGTGGGACACGCAGATGGAACGGGCAGCGGCTGACGTGGCCGGTCACCCCGACCTGTCCGAGCGCCAGATCTTCTTTCAGCTGGTGCTACAGCGATTGGGACAGGTGAGCAACATGCAGCAACATGCAGCAACATGCAGCAACATGCAGCAACATGCAGCAACATGCAGCAACATGCAGCAACATGCAGCAACATGCAGCAACATGCAGCAACATGCAGCAACATGCAGCAGTACACACATACATTGTGATACTACCGTAAAGTACCATTGATCCCCCCCCCCCCCCCACGCCGTGTCGCTTCCCAGCTGTTTTTTCGGCAGGGTCGGAAATTAGATCAAGTCGTTCAAGTGCAGTACGATGCACAGGGGGCGGAAATTAGAGCGGGGGCGGATCAACGGTACTTTACGGTACATGTGCCAGCATGGAGATTTTCCCTTTTTCCCATTACTGTTGTCTGGTATGTGAAACTCAAAGTTACAACATAATCTTCAGCCTTTTCTTCTTGTTTTAAGTAGCTCTGCCCTTGGGTATCCAGCACTCTATTGCACGGTCTGACGTTTCTGTTTTAGCAATACAGTCCTGGCGACAATGTGACTGTGTAGATGACGGTATCCAGGATGATCACTAGTTCAGCGTCTGCTTCGGTTGTACACCGGAGCATGTGCATGTGCTAGTTGGAATCCAGTTGTGATTCAAAAGGTAGGAAAACGTGTGCGCACCTCTCTCCAGGCTTCCGTAAAAAGACTAACACCAGCGCCCTCCTGTGAAAAAAAACTGGCGCTCTCCTGCTTATTTGTCGATGTTTGCTTTTTTTCAGCCCATTCAACGAAAATGCAGTCGATAGTCACTATCACTAACAGAGGGTTCATAAAGGCACACTTGTCTAGGGTGATGTCGGGGTACGTTGCATTTTGGGTGGCAAGACAATTTTGGAAAATGGGATAAAATGGGTTGCGGGGTAACTGTATGCCCTGCCCCCACCCCTACTATTTTTTACCTGGCTAGAACCATGAACATGGTTAGCATTTTACCGTTTGCCCAAATTTCGACTGTTGGCCTGTACCGTTAGCGGTGACATGTCATGAAGTTTCAGTCGCTGATGCTCCCATGCGGTATAGTCGCACACCTGCTCAGGCCGTATGAGGGTCGTCGGCATGATGCCACCCTGCTATATGCCAGTGAAGTGTTGCAGCAGATCCACGCACATATCCCTTATCCCGGAGTTGTCCCTGATTTCGTCGTAGGTTATCCTTTGGAAGCTGAGTTGACAATGCCATATCACGGACTAAGCGCCACCCCACACGGCCACGGGACACAACATAGTATTGACCAATGGGTTGAAGGAATAGCCGTGGCCTTGTCCACATGTTATTAAGCAACTGGAACTGTGCCATGACGCCAGCGAACCACCACTCAACGCAGATTCTTGACTTACTCATTTCTAGGTTGAAATGCAGTTCCTATGTGTCCACCCTCCTCTTGAACTGCATGATATGCCTTTATGGAAGAAATCACACATCTCCATACTTCAACATTCAGCCCCCAACTCTGCAACAGTATCTGATGTAGTAATAATTCATTTCAAGAATGAGTTTCACAGTACAACAGTGGAAACAAGGCTTAGTTTGCTGCAACTCTCAGTTTCATGCGCAGTGCTCAAGAATAAGATAGTAGTTATGTCAGGCCCTGAGCAACTCCATATGCAGACAGCGCTCTTCTGCTTCCAGCCGGAATCTCTCCCGGGCCAGTGCAAGCTCTTGCTTTCGCAGATCCAGGTCCTCCCTCTTCAACTGCATACGCTCATTCACTATCTGTTGTATATTAAGCCGCTTCGGGGCAGGCTTGCAACAATCGGGAGCCATGGCTGCTGGTCCTGCTGCAGTTGCGGTTACTTCACCCGTGGCTGTTGTTGCTGCTGTTGATTCCATAGCTGCGCCTGCTGCCGACCGCTTTTCTTTGTATTTTGCCAAGGCTGCAGGATGCACGCCAGCAGCAATGCTCTTCCTGTCTGCCTTGGACTTCGTGTCGGGTTTGCAGCTCACCTGCACCTCCTTCTCTCTCCAAATCTCAAGCACATCGTCCAATATTTGCTGTCTCTCTGTGTATGGCTTCTCAACTCCAGATCTGCAGCCAGTAAACGAACAGTCAACTTTATTCAAAATTACTATGACGCAGCCCTTGTCAACTTTCTTACTGGCCAGCCACGCTTTGCGCTCTGCACATTCCAGCCTGGTATGGCCCTCGGTCTCGCAAAAGAAGCAGGCCTCTTTTCCGATGACTTGCTTCAATTTATTGACTTGCTCGATTTGGACTTTCCGAATGACTTTGTGCGTGAGCAATCTCTCCTGATATGCCCAGGCTCACGGTACGTCAAATGGTGTGTGTTTTTTTGTAAAAACAAAAAAACAAAAAACAAAAAAACGTACAGCACAACCCACCACCACCGACTGGTAGCAACAGCAGCCACACTCCTTGACAGAATCTGAACCGAGACGGGTGCTCGAACTGCATCAGCACATCCTGTCACCATCATCTCCTTTCCTGCGAAGACCAACCGCCGCGGCAACCGGGTTTGCTGAGCAACGTCAATCGATACACCTGCCCAGCATCTGCTCGATGACCATAGCATCCTTGTCGCCGGCGTCGGTGTGACCAAACATGGTCAGCAGGCGTCTCGGATCTGCCACAACGGCATCCACACTTTCGTCTTCTCGCAGCCGCCTGTTCGTAAAGGATCTGTATGCTACGCTCTTGGACGCTCCAAAGGACTTCATCATAGCCGCCGCTACTTTGTCCTTTTTCTTCTTGTCAGTGTCTTCCATTGTACTAATAACAAGGAATGTGCCGCCTTCCAGAAATAAAGGCACGAGCGGTCAATTCAGGTCATCCAACCGTGTTCTTGGGAGTCGCAGGTACATCGATCGTTTCCTTCTCGTCTTGCTGCGGGTCAGGAACAGGGATTACTTCCAGGAGTTTGACACAACTGAAAAAACCCTAATAAACATGATTATGATATCTGAACAAGTTGCAACTGTGACCACCAACTTGGCCTGTTGAAATGATTCAGGAGAGAACATTGAAGGAAAAATGAAAAGAAGTCCAACTGCATCTTCGCCAATTCGACTGAAGACCGAAACACACCAGCAACAAACTGAACATGCAGGAGTACTGTGAGTCTGTCACGTGAACGAGATACTTCAAGTAACTTTTCCAGAAAGGCAAATCGTACCTTGAGACACGCACAGGGGATGATTCCATATCTAGAAATCGAAGTAAAGCGGAGGAAAGAACCTTTGCGAGAGACAGCACAACTGAAAACGACTGAAGCGTGCACCACATGGGCATTTCATATTTCCCGCGAAAAGGAGCGAGCATGCGCGCTGAAGGGAAAAATGTGAAAATAGGGCGCGGAAAGAGTTGGAACCAAACCGACGGTATTTCGGATGCTGGGTTGAGTACCGTTGGATTTAGCGTAAACGGTAGCATGCTTACCATGTCTATTGTAGAATCAATCTCCACATGTCGTGCATTTTCTTTCTCTTGCATGCCAGGGATTTCAACTGATCGACAGCAAGTTCAAGGGCGAAGTACAAACGTTGAAGTTGGAAACTGGCCAAACTATGCCCATGCGGGTAAGCACAGCATGCACTGTAAATGCGGGTTTTTTAATGGTAGGTGTTGTGTCTATGGATACAGTAGTCATTGACTTTTTTACACCACTGTTGCATCAGAAGTTTAGGACCAGTACTGGAAAACCTATGAATACGCACGGAGTCGCATCCTTCTTAGCAAGCCTTGGATCTGCTGTGTCGTACTCAGAGACTACCTGTATCTTTGTGGTTGGTGTTGTACGGCGTAATTGGCTACATCACTATCCGGTGATGAATGAATCTCTTGTCAGTAAGTGAATGGAATCCATGGTCTATAGTTGTGATGCCCCGCTCAAGAGTCCACTGTCTGCTTGAAAATAACGTTGCATGCATTGTTCAATTTGTTATGTTGGTTAATTGTCAGAGGCTGTGTTTCATGTATTCCATTGTATGACAGGCTGTTCACTGTTGTGTTGCATTCTGGTTCTGTTCATGTGTATAGTCTGAGTACTGGCTTGTGCTTGGCCAGCATATCCATCGACTGCGTCTGCAGAGTGCTAGCTCTGGTATTGAGATAACTCGCTACAAACCAAGGTATGGAGGCGTAACATTGCTGGAAACTAGCATGATTGTCTCGTGTCAGCCAAGTGAGTTCTGTGTCTGCCCTGCGCGTCCGACATCAGGCTCGGTCCTTCGTCAATCTGCCTGTGTGTGTTTGTGTGTGCATGTTTGTGTATGTGTGTGTGTGTGTGTGTGTGGTATACGTGTGGTGTGTGTGTGTGTGTACGTGTGGTGTACGTGTGGTGTACGTGTGGTGTACGTGTGGTGTACGTGTGGTGTACGTGTGGTGTACGTGTGGTGTACGTGTGGTGTACGTGTGGTGTACGTGTGGTGTGCGTGTGGTGTGTGTGTGTGTGGTGTACGTGTGGTGTACGTGTGGTGTACGTGTGGTGTGTGTGTGTGTGTGTGTGTACGTACGTGTGGTGTGTGTGTGTGTGTGTGCATGTGTGTGTGTGTGTGTGTGTGTGTGTGTGTGTGTGTGTGTGTGTGTGTGTGTGTGTGTGTGTGTGTGTGTGTGCATGTGTGTGTGTGTGCATGTGTGTGTGTGTGTGCATGTGTGTGTGTGTGTGCATGTGTGTGTGTGTGTGTGCATGTGTGTGTGTGTGTGCA